GACGAAGTGCAGACGCGCGCGTCGTCGCGCGCGTATGCCGAAATCCTTCGAAACCCATAGGTTTCGGAAGGATTTCAATATCGTGTGCCCAAAACACACACACACACACACACACACACACACACACACACACACACACACACACACACACACACACACAAAACACACAAGGTTTCGCAACACAGATTTGCTAAAAAAGCTGCCGCGCGAGCTCTTGCGGAATCTTAAGAAAACCATTGGTTTTCAACATTTTCACAACATGCTACCAAACGGGCTTCGCGCGCGCATGTCGAAATCTGTCGAACGCCCTTGCGCGTGTGCCGTCGCGAGAACCCTCTGCAACAGATGAGACGAAGTGCAGACGCGCGCGTCGTCGCGCGCGTATGCCGACATCCGTCAAAACCCATAGGTTTCGGAAGGATTTCAAAATCGTGTCCCCAAGAAGCCATACAAAAACACAAGGTTTCGCAACACAGATTTGCTTTAAAATAAAAAAAAAGCTGCCGCGCGAGCTCTTGCGAAATCTTGAGAAAACCATCGGTTTTCAAGATTTGCACAAAATGCTACCAAACGGGCTTCGCGCGCGCATGTCGAAATCTGTCGAACGCCCTTGCGCGTGTGCCGTCGCGAGAACCCTCTGCAACAAATGGGACGAAGTGCAGACGCGCGCGTCGTCGCGCGCGTATGCCGACATCCGTCAAAACCCATAGGTTTCGGAAGGATTTCAAAATCGCGCGTCCAAAAAAACATACAAAAAACACAAGGTTTCGCATCACGGATTTTTAACAAAAGCGTGCGCGCGCGCTCTTGCGTCGTCGTCGTCGTCGTCGTTGTCGCCCTCCTCCCTCCTCCCACGTCGTCGTCATCGTCGTCGCCTACGTCGTCCTCTATCTTTCCTCGTGTTCGTCGTCGTCGTCCTCTTTGGCGTCGTGGTCGTTTCGGTCGTCGTTGTCACTGTGGTCGTCCTTCCTCCTCCTCCTCCATCGTCGTCGTCGTCGTCCGTCGTCGGCGTCTCGTCGTCGTCCCTCCTATTTCGTCGCCGTCGTCGTCGTCGTCGTCGTCGTCGTTGCCGTCGTCGGCGTCTTCCCTCCTCCCTCGTCGTTGCCGTCGTCGTCGTCGCCGCCCTCTTCCTCCTTCTCCGTCGTTCGCGTCGTCGCCGTCCTCCCTCCTCCCTCGTCGTTGTCGTCGTGATCGTCGTTGTCGCCGTCGTCGTCCTTCCTCCTCCCTCGTCATTTTCGTTGGCGACGTTGTCGTCGTCTTCGTCGTCGTCGTCGGCGTCGGCGTCGTTGTCGTCTTCGTCGTCGTCGACGTCGGCGTCGTCGACGTCGCCGCCGTCGTCGTCGTCGTCGTCGGCGTCGTTGTCGTCGTCGTCGTCGTCGTCGTCGTCGTCGTCGGTGTCGTCGTCATCGTCGTCGTTGGCGTCGTCATCGTCGTCGTCGTCGTTGTCATCGTCGTCGTCGTCGTCGGCGTCTGCGTCGTCGTCGTCGTCGTCGTCGTCGGTGTCGTCGTCGTCGTCATTGTCGGCGTCGTCGAAGTCGTTGGAAACGTCGTCGGTGTCGTCGTAGTCGTTGTCGTCGTCGTCGTTGTCGCTGTCGTCGTCGGCGTCGCTGTTGTTGCCAAGTGCCATTTGGTACCCACCGCCACGGGTTTAAGAGATTTTGCAAACCAAGTTGCGGGTGGGTGGGTGGGATGTTTGCGCGAGCAGTGGAGTGAACAGCTTACTGCGAACAGAAATTAATTGCACCACATAGATTTCACCAAACACGTTGCACCAGACATATTGCACAACATAGATTCTCCTTTCTAATAAGAGAATCGACTTTACCCCCCTCCCGGCGTTATCCGCCCCCCTCTCGGGTATGTAAATCATATATGATTATGACCACATGTCCATTTGAAATATGAATTTGCACTATCCCAGGGGGGCCGGTATCGGTTCCCCTGAGGTTTCCTGGTTAAAAAAACATAAACGGGGACATGTTTTGTTCTAACATAAGACTGTTTCACGAATCCCTGGCAACAAATGGGACGAAGTGCACACGCGCGCGTCGTCGCGCGCGCATGCCGAAATCCTTCAAAACCTTCGGTGTCGGAAGGATTTCGCAATCGAGTTTGCAACAAAAACATACAAACGCGCAGGGTTTCGCAAACCTGATTTGCTAAAAAAGCTTACGCGTGAGCAATTGCGACATCTTAAGAACACCATTGGTTTCTCAAGATTTTCATAACATGCTACCAAACGGGCTTCGCGCGCGCGCATGTCGAAATCTGTCGAGCGCCCTTGCGCGTGTGCCGTCGCAAAAATCCACTGGAAAAAAACGAAGTGCAGACGCGCGCGTCGTCGCGCGCGTATGCCGAACTCCTTCAAAACCCATCGGCTTCGGAAGGATTTCAACATCGTGTGTTCACAAAACCTACAAAAACACAAGGTTGCGAAACACAGATTTTCAACAAAAGCGTGCGCGCGCTCTGGCGTCGTCGTCGTCGTCGTCGTCGCCGTCCTCCCTCCTCCCGCGTCGTCGTCGTCTCCGACGTCGTCCTCTGTCTTTCCTCGTGTTCGTCGTCGTCGTCCTCCTTGGCGTCGTGGTCGTTTCCGTCGTCGTTGTCGCCGTGGTCGTCCTTCCTCCTCCTCCCTCGTCGTCGTCGTCGTCCGTCGTCGGCGTCTCGTCGTCGTCCCTCCTATTTCGTCGCCGTCGTCGTCGTCGTTGTCGTCTTCCCTCCTCCCTCGTCGTTGTCGTCGTCGGCGTCGCCGTCCTCCCTCCTCCCTCGGTTGCCGTCGTTGTCGCCGTCGTCGTCCTCTCTCCTCCCTCGTCGTCGTCTTCGTTGGCGACGTCGTCGTCGTCTTCGTTGTCATCGTCGGCGTCGGCGTCGTCGTCGTCTTCGTCGTCGTCGACGTCGGCGTCGTCGTCGTCGCCACCGTCGTCTTCGGCGTCGTCGTAGTCGACGTCGTTGTCGTCGTCGTCGGTGCCGTCGTCGTCGTCGTCGTCGTCGTCGGCGTCGTCATCGTCGTCGTCGTTGTCATCGTCGTCGTCGTCGGCGTCGGCGTCGTCGTCGTCGTCGGTGTCGTCGTCGTCGTTGTCGGCGTCGTCGAAGTCGTTGGAGTCGTCGTCTTCGTCGTCGTAGTCGTTGTCGGCGGCGTCGTCGTCATCGTTGTCGCTGTCGCCGTCGGCGTCGCTGTCGTTGCCAAGTGCCATTTGGTACCCACCGTCACGGTCTTAAGAGATTTTGCAAACCAAGTTGCGGGTGGGTGGGTGGGATGTTTGCGCGAGCAGTGGAGTGGACAACTCACTGCGAACAGAAATTGATCGCACAACATAGACGGCACCACAAAGCTTGAAACACAAATATTGCTTCACATGGGCTGTTCAACATAGATTGTACCACATATACTTCGTACCAACAATGTATATACACTGCGAGGCAGACTGCTAGAAAACACTGCTTGAGGTCAACGTCGGCTAGCGTATACATGCGTATGTATATATGTATATATATATACATATATATATACACACGCATGTCTATCTCAAGACATGGCTGCTCCATCGCCAACTAAGCCTCAAAGCCTGTGTCGCTGAATCGCTCACCAGCAGAATACAGGTAGCTGAGCGGGCGCGGAAGGAGCATCGTCGAAAAGAACATGAGGAGTTTCACCATTCGTCGGACGGCTCATTGTACAGGAAACAAAGGAATGCGAGTGGGATTGAAGTCCATCCGGACAGCAGCCTTCGCTGAATTGTCTGTCCTGCGCAGGAGCCGCGCCAGAAGGCCCCATCGATTGGACGGGGGCGACGAATATATCCAAAGCCCTGGGCAAGCCCCAAAGCGCTAAAACCAGCAGCGCAGTGGCAGACGAGGCGAATCAAGGCGTCCCGAACTCAACAACGGGACGCACATCCGCGTATGGCACGGTATGGGGAAACACCTGCCGACTGCCCAACGTACCGACGCTGCGAGAGGACAGAATAGGCATCCGTGGTCACGCGCAGACGACGAGCTCGGCATGCGTGACCCAGCTCGTGCGCAACCTGCTTATCCCATCGGAAGAGTTCCGACTGCCTGGCGCAGAAATCAGCACCAAATGAACACATTCACTGGCGCACTGAGCAGGGAGCGGGGTAGAAAGAGGCAGGCAAAGCAGAAGAGTGGAGATCGAGGAAGAAAGGAAAACTCAAACCTCCAGCGTACCCCGAGCTTTCGGCCCCGCCCCCGTGCTCCGCAGGGGCGGTCTGCTGCAGGCCCTGAGGCCCAGAATTGTTCTTGAGGCGCCGGAGCTGAGAGGAAACGCGTGCGGCGATGTTTGTCTCGACTTCGCGACGCAGGGATCTGCCCCTGCCTCAGTCCCACCGTATCGATGAAAGCCTCCGTGCTGGCAGCAGCAAACACAAGACGCCCAAAAGTCCTGCGTATCCTTCCTCCCTCCTCTCTCTCTCTTACGGCGCTATCAGGTCTCATTGAGAGACGGTCTCCATGCTTTCTGACAGTCCTCCCTCCCTCCCTGCGTCCACATGTTTTCCCCCATCGCTCTCATCTCTTCCCCCTCCTGCGAGGCACTTAGTCGCTGGACTGTCGGACAGTCCAGCGACTAAGTGCCTCGATGCCTCGGAGTCCTGAGGGTCTATCTTTGCCGAGCGGAGCGCGTATACTTGAGGCGCAGCTGCGAGCTTACACCAACAAGGCACGCCAACTTGTATGCCTAAACCTATGGCCCACCCGAAATTGGAGGCGGCTGGGGGACCTAAACTGGTTAGGAGCCGAGAAAATCTGCCAGGATGGGGGATGAGGCCCAATCTGCTCAAAATCAACTCCTGGACTGGTAAAATTATTCTCCCCGGCCGAAAACTGCCCCCGGATGCCGACCAGGAAAACAAAACAAAATCTCACCGAACCCAACACCTCAAGCCTGCCCGCCATTCCTGCTCGCCAGAACCACTGCTGGGCAACCTCCGACCCCCAGCCGGCTCGGAACCCTGCTCCAAAGCAGTGTCTGAGCGCCGCGCACGAAGCCCATGCGCACCTCCGCCACGCCGCACCACTGTGCGTAGTGGCCATTGTTGCGCGCGTTGCAGGCAGCCTGGTCTACGCCAGTGTTGAGGTGATTCTCGCCTTAGCGGGCGACATGGAGGAGAGAGAAGGAACACCAGTGAATCTAGAGAGAACCAGAGCAGGTGGTACGTGGCCTGAAAGAGGGGAGGAGGAGGAGGATGAGGAAGACCAGAGCAAACCCGAGCCTCATCAACGATATTGCAATAAGTCCACCCTCCAAGTTCTCTCTTCATAGGCCCCGACAAAAGTTCATTTTCATGGAAAGAAATGACCCGTTGGAAGACACCCGTTTGAAAATCGGGAACTGCGCCAGAACACCCCTCCTGGGACTTCAACGCCGTGAATCATCATTAGTGCTGCGACTTGACGATCGTCCTGAATCGTCCCAGAACGACATTCCTGGGACTTCAACGCTGCGAACCAACGTGCCTGTTGCACCCTGACGTTCCGACTCGTGCCGAAACACAATTTCTGGGACGTTAGCCATGGAAATCCTTGACGTCGATGCAAACTCTGAAGTCGCATGCGCGCGGCGCTGAGGCGAGAGGCACATTTTGAAAGTGACCCGCTCTTCATCTGTGAAGCTGCTGCAAATTAACAAAACGGATATGCCTGGAGCTAAGGCGCGGGCCTCATTGTGAAATCGACCCACCCTCCATCCGTAAAGCTGTCGCATGTAAAAAGCGAATGTGCGCGGAGCTAAGGCGAGAACCACATTTTGAAAACCAGCCGCCCTCGATCCCCTGGGTGCGACAGGGACCAATTCTGTTTATGAAGAACAGAAGTAGAAGCGGTGGGGCGTGCCCAAGGGCGAGTCCGCTACTGCGTAGCCGCTACTGCGACCACTACTGCCGTTGCTATTGTTGGTGCTTGCACTACCATGCCCCGCAAAAGTGCCAGAGAGCGGCCGAGGCGACCTGAAATCCTGCCTCTAGGCCGAGGCGAGCCAGGCGATCTCCGCCAGCATGCCGCTGTCGAGCAGGCATCTCTACTAACGCTTACAAGGCAAGCGCACGGCAACGGCAGCAGCACCTGTGAGCAAGACGCCTCGGACAGAGACAGAAGGCGGCCCCACGCCGCGGCTTGCCTGGAGGCCAGGCGGTGCATATGATAGAGAGCGGTCACAAAAGCGAGCGGATGACCCCTGTGGCCGAGGAGAAAGAGAGGGTGCGAGGGCAAAGGGGAGCGGAGCATACGAGAAGCCCAAAACAGAAGACGGGGACAGCGGAATAGTGCCGAATGGCGTCTGGCTCGGAAGGGCGCCCCGGGACGCATCCAACCAACCCCCGAGGGCCGTTTTGATGGCGATAAAGGACCAGGCAGGTGGGAGCGAGGAGAAGGCCACCTTGTACCTCCTCCAGTCCTCTACCGAAGACCGGAGAGACGAGCTAGCATGTTGTTTACCGCCACGGCGAACGAGCACATCCAGAGAGGCCGAGACGACGCCCGACTCGAAGGGACGACCGAAACGACCCTGCCAACGACGTCTGCGCTTCGGCTTCTCAAGGATTGCAGGCGGGGGGTCTCTAGATAACCTGGAAGCAGCAGGGCCAATTGTCCGCAGTCTGGACTCATCTGGGAGCCGTTCGGCTGCTCACTCAAGCACGCCAGCAGTCACTGGCGAGCGCCAGATCGGATATGTGATCGCAGGCTCGGTCCACCAGCCGAGAGTACGCCACGAAAATCGGGGCTGGGCTAATTCCTGCCGCCGCGTAGTGCAAGCGACGAGCGCGCTTCTCATCACACCTGCCACATAGAAATATGCTTTTCGGCCGGAGACAGCCCCCCACCCCGCCGAAGCATCGAAAACGGAACCTGAAACAGGCGGGCAATCAGTCGACGCTCGAAGTGCGAGCGACGCCAGTCAAGAAAGACGAGTTGCATCTTATAGCTCAGCACCGTCTGGATCCGCTAATCATACATGCGCAGGGAGGTGGCAGCCCCGCGGGCTCCCGTCGCTGTAGCACGTGCCAGAGCCTCGCCCAACGGGACGGCCAGGGCGTCAGCAGGGACAGCGCCAGGACCTATAAGGCAACCTGCGTACACGGTTCCCCCATCGACGGCGAACTGGCCCCGAGACGGCTGGACACTGGCCAAACAATATCGAAACTGCTAGGTCGACTCAGGGTGACCTCGGCCCAACGCGGCACCGCGACGCACTCAGAGACCTTGAGGTGGAGGGTGGCCAGCAGCTTGACACCCCCTCATCCCCGAAGGCCGAATCCAGTGGATTCGTATGAAAGAAAACATCTGCAGCATGCTTAAAGCCGCGCGGCATGGGGGCACGATGGACCCTCAACTGCATCCAGGACTGCCTCGCAGAGGGGAAGGCCTGGGAGAAGTCACAGGCGAGGAGGGAGGGGGCGTGAGTCGGATCCTGCAACAAACGCATGCTAGCCTTTCTCGCCGCCGAGTCAAGATAGACAATCTTATTATTATTATGGACATTCCAAATTCCTGCGAATCACTAATCCGCGTTGCGCGCCAGCAGTGAAGCCTTGCAAAACCCGTGTCAGGGCACGATTCCAGACAGCCGCCACAATCTTGCCCGAGCTGTTGTTTCAAACTGGCCGGCGCGCATCGAGGCTGGCGCGCGCGAGAGCTGTCGCCGTCGGATCATCTCCCGCCGACGGCTTCGGAATGAAGACTTGCAGCGAGGCGCTAAACTCAGGCGGCATCAACTTGTTTGAGACGACTCGCAGGATCAGGATGACTTCGCAGGGCACTTGGGGGCCCTTCCCGTGTCGCCATGAGGCGAAAGGAAGCCCATCCGGGCCAGGAGTGGAGGAGGAGGCCAACGGAGGAAACGCTCAACCCCGCGAAGATAGAGAGGGAGAGAGGAGGAAGGTCCCGAACGTCAGTAGCCTGGGGATAAGAACGCCGCGCAGAGGCATCCGCCGCGCGAGGCATGACACAGAATTTGTTAAGCTCGGCAACGACACCCTCAGGAGAAGAAACCACCCACTTCCCAGCGCCTGGTTCCAGCCCAGTCCGACTCCCGGGGAACATTTTCGCGCCCCGAAAATGAAGCAGAGCCGAGTGCCCCTCACGACCGCGGCCTTCCGCGCATGACCTTGCTGTGAGTTTCCGCATCCAGCTGCTCCTGCTACTCCCTATCCTGCTGAAGCTGCAAAGAGACGTGCAAAGAAACTTGCCAGTCTGCGAGCGAGACGACAAGCGGGCCGGCAGCGAGCTGACGGTTGAGAATGGAGTTGTTCGAAAGCGGGTGGGAAAATGAACAACGCACGGGTGCAGCATCTGCCTACTTTGCTGGCGGGGCCAGAGAGATCTCGACGCCGCCCCCGTCGGACACCAGCAGATCAGAGCGCGCACAGCTGTGGCGATCGAGGGGGCCCCTGGCCAGTCGCAGATCCGGATGGGAAGTGCAGCGCGCAACAGATCGAGCGACCAGAGCTCGAGCCATGACTGATCGCGGCGGCGCCTCCAACAGCGAATCACCAACGGCAGACAGTAGCACAGCGCAACGCTTCAGGCGCGTCGCAGACCAAAGACTTTACAAAGGAAAAAGGGGTCGGAGACAACATGCCGAGGGTGGGTGCGAGGGCGAGGATGATCGATCACTTGTGGCCTCGGTTTCAAAACGACCATGACAGAAACGTGATAGGGTCGCCGTGATCGACTGATCTACTCACGCTTCCGAGCGAGTGCCTTCATGCTAGCACGTCGGAGCGTCACTGGCCAGCTCCGTCACCTGTTTTCAAATGGATTCCCAAACGCGACCACCACTGCGATGCTGCCAGGAGCGACCAGCCTCCTCATTCGCGATGTTCTTATCCGCATTGAGGACCAATTCAACGCGCACAAGATGGGCCCGAACGACCGCCAGTTGTGCCACAACTGCGCGCTTCAGAAGGTGTATGGACTTTTTGTCCCTACCTAGGCTCTGCCTAGAAGGGTTCTTACCGTGTATGCTTAAAGGGCGGGGAAGTGGTCCTCGCCCCGGGCGGTTCCCCCAATATCCGCCCCGCGGTTCCCCCAGCTCGCAGCTCGCAGCTCGCACCCGGTGAGAGAATGCGCAAACATGCGTGTGTGTGTGTGTGTGTGTGTGTCTGTGCACAGGCAAATCAAAAACAAAATCAAGCAAAAGCAAACACAACATCAAAACAAAAGCAATACCAAAAGCAAAAGCAAAACAAAGGCAAGGCAATGCAAAGCAAAAACAAAACCACTGCGAAAGTGTAGATGTAAATGTAGATGTAGGTGTAGGTGTAGATGTTGATGTAGGTGTAGGTGTAGGTGTAGGTGTAGGTGTAGGTGTAGGTGTAGGTGTAGATGTAGATGTAGATGTAGATGTAGATGTAGATGTAGATGTAGATGTAGATGTGAGTCTCGCTGTTGATGTTGATGTGGATGTAGATGCAAGTGTAGATGTTGATGTAGCTTTCGGTTTAGATATAGATGCTACTTTCCTAGATCCTCAAACTCCTAGGTAAGGTCGCACTGGGATAATTTCGGAGGTGAAGACAACCGGGCCTAGGCAATCAACCGGACCTCTGCATGAATTGCGCTGTGGTATCTTGCTAGCTTCGGAACGGCCAGCAGGACGACGAGAGAACGAGGGGGAGGAGGAGGAGGAGGAGGAGGAAGACGAGGCAGAGGGGGAAGCAACGACGACCCCCAAGCGCAGAAACGACAAAGCGGGAGAAAGTAAAAGAACGAGGGGGCGACAGACCGAAGAGACAAGACGAAACGAGGCAAACGAGAACAGAGGAAAATCAGGAGAGCCATCGACAAACGAGCCGCACCTCGACGAATCACTACGAGGGGGACTCCCGTGCGCGCCAGCGCCCGACCACGGTGCGCGAGGAAGCCCGCGAACCACATCGCAGCTCATACCCAACATGGATACGCACAGAGTCCCGATCCAGCAGGTCGAAGAAGAGCTTGGGGGGGAACGAGAAGAAGAGCCAGATGTTGTCCCCGATGACAAAATCCAAGCAGCCCTCGCACAGAGAAGCCCGACGATAAAGCGACGAAGTCGAAAGGCGTGAAGCCACGGAATCAATTGAAGATGTAAGCGGCGACGCCGTCGACGTAGAGCAGCAGCAAGATGGCGCGAACGACCCTCCGCCAGGAGGGGGTCCCGCGCCGCCGGGCCAAAGCGCCACAAACGGCGGGCCGGCGAAACAAAATAATACCTCGCGGCCCGTCAGCAACGGTCCGATCCTCCCGATCTGCATGCCCACCTTCAAACCGATCGCAAGGTCACGCAACTTGCCGCATAAATGCCGTCGTCGACTTCGCGCACGAGCTGGCGGGCAGCTACCGCAAACCGGAGGGTCTGCCGAGCCGCCTGCGTACTGTTTGGCCAGACGCAGCGGGCCAGCTCGCCATATTCCTGAGAAAGCACCCTCAGACGCACCAGAGCATCCCAGGTCCTGGGTTCCTCGTCAAGCCTAGTGAAGGCCTCCTTTTGGACGTGAAGCCTGTCGTGATGGTCGGCACCCCGACGCAAAACAGCAGCTCGAGCCACCGCCCGCAGGTAGACATCAAGTCGACCGTTGAAGTGGTCGTCGTGGTCTTCGGTCGCGGCGGCGTCGTTCTGCACGCGCGCCCCCTTCACGTCGGCCTAACGGGCCACAGTGCCATTCCCGGCTGGCGACTCGTAGGTCTGGTCCTTGGCCGAGCTCTCCACGGCCGTCTTCTTCGACGTACCGGCGTCCAGCGCGGCGTCGGGGAGCACCTCTCCCACGTCGGGCTCGCTGCCAACATTGCTGTTGGAGGCCGTAATATTCTTGTCCGAGGTCTCCGCGGCCGTCCTCGCCTCCATGTCGAGGTCCATGGCGGCGTTGGGCAACTTCCCATTCACGACGTGTTCGATGGTGATGTTCCCGTCGAGCGGCTCGTAGATCTTCTGCTTGTCGCCGAAGCTCTCCGCTGGTGCCTTCGTATCCGTGCCATAATCAACGGGGGCGTCAGACCCGTTCCCCTTCGCGACGCGTTCGGTAATGTTCCCGCCCAGCGGCCCGCAGGCCCTCTCTATGTCCGGATAGTCGGTCGCAACCCACGTCGTGCCGTCATCCTCCTCCGAATTCTCCTTGCCGGAATTCTTGCACCCCCGCCTATCCCCCCTGTGCATCCCCTCCGATGCCCATCCCCCCTATCCATGCACCTGAGGCTAACACTCCGCTTCCCGTCGGCCAACCGGCTCCCTCTTCCAGCCGCCCCACTTCCCACTCTTTCCCCCCTTCTCCTCCCGACGAGCCCTGGTCCCGACCCTCTCTCCCGTGTCGGCCCCCTCCCCCGTCATCCTCCCTCCCTTCCTTCCTTCCTTTCGCACGGCTTGGCGAGGCGCGCACAGTCGGCGCCCCGCGGCCAGCCGGGCCGCCCGGCGCGGCCCCTTCATTCTGCGGGCGGCCTCCGAGTGCCTGCCACGCGGCGACGCTCTCCGCGGCCGAGGGCGTGGAGGGTGACGCCCGACGCTGTGTGGGGGTTGCCCGCCCTCCATTTCCTCGGGGAGGGGGTCCCTCGGGCGCCCCCCCCAGCACGGAGCTGGCGGAGTGCCGCACGAGGGCTGCCCCCGGCAGCCCTGCCCCCCTCCCCCTCGCCTCTGCCCTCTTCCCATCCCTCCCATCCCGCCCGTGGCACAGAGGCAGCGGCCACATCCCAGAGCGCGGAGATCCCTCCCGGCGGGCGGGGCGCCCGTCCAAGAAGGGCGTGGTCGAGTGGGGCGCGGGGGGGGGGGGCACAAGTTCAGGAGGAATGGAGATCGCTGATCGCGGCGTTGGTTGGCCACCCGAGGGAGAGGAACCGAACCTGCCGTCAGAAGTGCAAGTACGCTGGTGTCCGAGACGAGCGCGCAGACAAACTAAAAAAACTGCACCGCGCTGGGCTAAGCTTTCCACCGTACATGTCCCGCACCCAGGACTTCCGCGCTGTGATCTCGAACGCGGTGCGCTCGGGACCTCAGCTGAAGAGCGTTCGTGAGGGGGTCAGTGGGGAACGTATCCAGGAAGCGGGAAGGAGGCGAAGAAGAGACAAATCGACAAGGTAGCTGAGAACGAGGACCCGACTTAATCAGGAATAACTGGAGAAGGCGGATGCGGGGCGGGAATGGTGGACCACCCGCGTGCCAAGCTTATCTCTCTTCCTCCTTCTGGGGTTAGGAGGAGAGATGGGAATAGGAGGCGGCAGAAGAGAAGGAGGCGGAAGTGAAGGAGGACCTTGGGATGAAGAAGTGGTCGAGTAACATGGGGGAGAAGGAGGAAGAGGAGGTTGAGGAGGACGAGGAGGAGGAGCAGAAAAAAAAAACGAATGAGGAGACTCCCATGTGACAATCGTGCCCATCCCCCCCGACCAGGAGAATTCAAAAGCTCGGCGAGGGCACCCGATGCACCCACCACTCAAGCCAGCCAGAAACACAAACTGTCTCGCCCCCCCCCACCACCATCCCTTGCGGCCTCAAGATGTTGCGACTCTTCCTCCCTGGAACCCCCAGCCTTGGCACTGAGCGTGAAACCTGCGAGCCTTGATTCCCTGATGCCTCGCTCAGGGAGACCAGCTTGGAGGGTTCCAAAGGGGGCTCTTGGGGAGGGTGCTTTCCAGGGGCGTCGCCCCCCTATTTTGACGAGGTTCCGAGGCCCCTACGGGGCTCTCTGGAAAACCCCCTCCCCCAAACACCCCCTTTGGAACCCTCCAGCCAACTGCGGTATCTACCCCCCCCCCGGACTTCTCAAGCCGGCCTCGCGCGGTATTCTACGTATGGGTACGCGTCGTTCATTTTTAATCGTGTTTACTTCTAAGTGTGCTCGTTTCTAATTGTTCCTGGCCCCCCAGTGGCCAGGAAGAGGTCCAGGATGGAACAATTAGAAATGAAAGGATCTTGGCCCCCCGAAAAACCTACGAACCTTCGAATAATTAGAAATGAACCATGTGTATGCCTCCTTTTTTGGTCATTTCCCCGAGGACTCCGTACCATCCGAAAGCAGCTCGCCCCCCTCTTCAGCCTCAGCACCAATACTACGACGCACAGAGACATACGAGTACTACGTACATGTCCTCCTTGGAGGCGCGCGTCCGACCCGAACATATAGTTCCCCTGTCAGCGCTTGCACTGAAGGGGTCCTAGCGGAGGTTGAAAGATTTGGCGAACATTTCCAGCCGATGTTGGTGGCAGGCTGGGTTCCCGGGTTCCCGGCTCCGGGTTCCCGGTTATTGGTTCCAGGCCGATTTCGGTGGGTTTGAATAAAGTTCCCGGGCTCCCGGGTTCCTGGTCGATCTCCTCAGCGAAAACCATTCATTCACTGATTGGAGCTTTCTCTGGTGTAGTATATCTATCTTGTAATGTATCGTTCCCCGAGCGGTGTGGCCAGAAAGCGCCCACAACCACGCACATGCTATAAGATTTCTCGGTGCGCGCGTCGCCCCTGTGGGGAAGCGACGCACATACAGATAAATATGTTGGGGTGACGCCGACAATCAATACGCGCACGCTTGTTTATCGAAACCATCCAGTTACAAAAATCCTTTGCAAAACTACGGACGAACTGCACACGCGCGCGTCGTTGCGCGAGCGCGCTGGTATCCTTCAAAACCGTCAGGTTTCGGGTCGATCTCGAAATCGACAGTCACGAAAACATTCAAAACACATGGTTTCGCAACTAGGGCTTGAACAAGAACTGAACCCGCGCTCGTGCGACACCTTGAGAAAACCATTCCCGCCTCAACATGTTCATAAAATGCTACCAGAACGGCCTCTCGCGAGCGCGTGTCGAAATCGCTCGAAAGCCCTTGCGCGCGAGCTGTCGCAATGATCCCTTTGAAGAACGCGGGGCGACGTGCGCACGCGCGCGACGTTGCAGCGCATGCCCACAGCCTTCGAAAAACTGCGGTGTCGCAAGAGTTTCAAGAACGACATCCCCGAAAACATATGAAAACACAGGGTTTTGTAACATCCATTTTCAAAACCCCCAAAAAGCTTCCGCTCACGGTCTTGCAGACTCTTCCGAACACCATGTCCACCGAATTTTGCCAAACAAGCCCGTCGCGCAACTCATTCGAACGCCCTTGCGCGCGTGCTGGGGGAGGGCAGGGGTGGACACGATCCGTGTCGAATAATACGGCGCGGACCGCTTGCGCGCGTCGGCCGCGCGAGCATGTCGAACTCCTTCAAAAACCTCATCGCCGACGCGAAGACATCGTCATCGCCACCGGCGGATGTGATCAACATCGGCGCCGTCATTGGCCTTGCCGTCGTCATCGCCACCATCTCTCCATCACCGATTGCCAGTACCCGTCGCCAAGGCGTCGCATTGAAATGCCCGCTGGGAACTGCCAAGCGCGGAACATACAATGCCGCTGCTCACGCATGACCCAAGTCATCTGGTTGAATGCCACGACCGTACGAGAAACAACACTGAAGATACCCCTCGTAACGTAGCCATCGGTCACGGACACCAAGCCGTAAATTTTGATCACACATACAATGATGCCTGTGCTCCACTATCAGCACGGAGGATTGTCACGTTCTTTGTCGTGTCAAGACCGCAATCCCAAAAGCGCTTCGCTTCAAGTCAAGGGAAGGCCACGACCGTTGCAACCCAAACTGGATCGCAACGGTTGCAAGCGTGTCGGATGATATGGATGCAGCGACCAACGAGTAACAGTTGTCAGCTTGGAAATGTGTGAGGCGCATCCAAGCTTTTGCGCCCGCTCCTGGAATCCAAACACTGGCCCAAAGGTAACAACCAAATCCGACAACATAGTCCTTGGTATTCTCCCATCTATGAGAAAGAGAACTTGGCGACGTCCCCAATTGTCAAGAATCGGGCTCGCACCGTCAAGACCTTTGGCAAGTACAGCCAGAAATACGTAGCACCCCGCCGAAGTTTCACAAACTGTGCAACGAGCCCGCCGCAGGAGCACATTGTTGTGTTAAACCAATGTGGGTAGGTCGCGGGTGGGTCCCTGTTGGGTCGCGGGTGGGACGCGGGGTGGGTCGCGGGTGGGTTGCGGGTGGGTCGCTATTGGGTCACAGGTGGGTCGCGGGTGGGTCCCGGGTGGGTCGCGGGTTCGGTCGCGAGTGGGTCGCAAGTGGATCGCGGGTGGGTCGCGGGTGGGTCGCGGATGGGTCGCGGGATGGGTCGCGGGTGGGTCGCGGGGTGGGTCGCGGGTGGATCGCGGGGTGGGTAGCGGGTGGGTCGCGGGATGGGTCTCGGGTGGGTCGCGGGTTGGGTCACGGGTGGGTCGCGGGGTGGGTCGCGGGGTGAGTCGCGGGGTGAGTCGCGAGGTGGGTCGCAGGTTGGTCGCGGGTGGGTCGCGGGTGGGACGACGACAACAAACATCAACAACAACGACAACAACAACAACCTCAACAACAACAACAACTACAACAACAACGCGAGAAACATAATCCTCACCACGGATCCCCACTTCAGCCACGCACCCAGGGACAATGAATGACCGTTCGGCCCCCTCACTCTGATGATCAAGAAAAATGTAAGTTAAGAGATCTGTGACAGAATCCCAGAGATCTATGAAAACAGTCCTGGGCCAAGTTCTGTTGGTCACGCTAGAGGGGCGACCGTGCTCAAGAAACTGGGCCGACGTTCTGAAAAACTTGTTAAGAAACGCTGGCCCAATCTTCCCGAATATGCTCGATCGTCTTCCCACCGGCTGCATTCTAGAAGTTGCTACTTCTTACGGGGGTGAGAATATGTTCGATCATCGATGAACGGACATCGTATGTAGCACGACAGAAGACCAAACACCAATCAAGATGAGCACGTATCCGGAGATGCATACCCATAACCAAATCAGGCCCATGGGACCTTGCAACTTACGTAAAGTGCCATGACTTGTTAACGCGTTGCAAGCACTTTCCGGGAACGGCGACGTGGTTGGCCAAATGATCTACAACGCTGTAAGAAAGAATGCGGCGCGAGCAAGCCCGATGCGGTAGATGAAAACTGCGGATCTTGGGCGAGCTTGAAGCCAAAGCGTGTGAAGAACTCGGAAACATAGTTAGCAACGAAGAATAGCAACGGGAAAATGATGGCGTCTTCAACTGTTGCATGTGGCGAGACACTGGTGCGCACCACACCACGACAAAGAAGTCAAGCAACAACTACGGGACGCTTAGCCGAGAGAGAACTGCAAGCAACAGCTAGCAAGCGCTGAGTTCAAACAACGGTTCAAATAGAACTGCAACTGGTAACAATGGTGATCGTGGTAAGAATGGTGAACGGCCCAAGATCACCGCCAGGCCCGCAGGGACTCCTTGCACGAACGCTCGCCTCCCTGCCAGGGAGGCGAGCGGGAAAGGCTGAATCTGAAGACACCCCATCAAACAACAACTACTCGCTGACCTGCAAAGAGTCGTGCCATCGCACAAGATGGCCCGCGCACATACTGCGTAAACAGAAACGAAGCCCTCGGGCCAGAATAGCTAAGGAGGTCAAATCAAAGAAAAACTAGAAGGAGAAGAGCCCCCTTTGACGGCGGCCCGAAATCACTTCCAAGAGGGTTTCGAGAGCCCCGGAGGAGGAACAGGCGGGGCCGGAAGACGGCGACAACTACAGCGGCGGCGACGAGGGGTCCCTCGATGCCTGGAGCGGGGCGGCCGACGGCAGTGCCTCCTCTGGATATAAAACAAGCCTTGCACGTCGATCTTCTATGCTATGGTACTTCGCGCAGCCAACTTGCGCGGCGGACGGCACGGAACACTCTCGACAAGACAAGCGCTTACGCGCGACTCCACCCTGCGAGTTTCAGCAGGAAGTCCGGGCCGCCGCATCTGTTCTCTGGAGTGATGCTCACGAGCAGAACTGATCTACCAAGGTCGGGACAGCCGTACGGGGTGAGCACGTAGCAGCCGGGCTCGTTCGGGAGCGGCGGGATCTTCATTTCCTGGTGGGGACCGCAATCGCTGCGCTCTGGCTGCCGAAACTGCAGAACATGCTGTCAGTCGTCGAAGCCTGCGAGCTCGGCGCTCTCAGACTGCTAGCTCGAAGTGCGTTGTACATGAACGAGGGGATGACTCCTAGCCTAGAGAAAACAAAACGTCGAACACGGTAGGTTCGTAACGGCTCGCGCGATGGTTCCTGACACCCGCGTGGATAGCTCAGCCTGGAACGATCGCGGCTTCTCGACCGCACAAGAATCGCTCGACACCGGCCAACTTTGCGTCACCGGCGGCGCTCAGCGTGGAACGCCCGCGCCGGGGGTCGCCGCCGCGCCGACACAACACGAACCTTCCCAGAGGAACAACAAGAGGGCATATACATACCTAACCTATGGGTGGGGGCGGGCGGCCAAACGCCGACCCAAAGAACCCGTGGTTGGCTCTTCGACTACCGCACGAGGGCGTCCGGCCTGTCTGGGGCCCCCAAGCTAGCCGACATCGGTGTGCTCCCCGCACATCCCGAAGACGAGGGAGCTCGGCAGACAGGTCTGCCAGCGCCCGAGTGCAACCTACACATGGTCGGGTCCAGGAACCCTGATTCCCCCCAAAATGACACCAGGATTCATCCTTTGTCGGCCGTTTCGGGGTGATCGAGGGCTGCATGACAAAGGACCTGAAGGGGGGGCCATAGGGCCCCGAATGTCTCGCTGTGCTTCCGCCTGCTTTCGCCGCTCTTCCGCCACCTCTGCCGAGGAGGAGACGTCAGGTTCTCCTTTCCTCGAAGGTGAAGCCCTTTCTGGATAGCCTCAAATAAATATATTGCTGTGTGCATGCTCACACTCTGTCTTTTTATTGTCTTGAGATGTGCAACGCGTGTGAGAACGCGTAATCGCAGATAAGCCTGCCGGCCAAACAACAACATTCCAGAGGGATCAACTTGTTGCTGCTTAGACCGGTTGCTATGGAGGGCTCAGCTTTCAATTGGGTTCACTCGCCTGTCATCTGCCATAGCCGTAGAGCGCATAGACCTGAACGACTAGATTCGCGGACACATGTATAACAAAAGCATCACATCAGTGCGATATTAAACCCTAAGGATGCTTTCTGTTGGGGCCACATTGGGTACCATGGTTGGGAGCTGTCTGGGACCGGGGTGAAGCTCCTGCCAACAGCCTTTGGAAACTGACGCACCTGGCCATCGGACCGCCTTGCTGCGATGCACTGGGCATGCGACGGAAGGCTAGTGCCTATCTCGGTCTGAAGCCAGCGCCAATGTGAACACACATCGTCGACAGTGGTGACCAGAGAGTGCTTCGCTTACGTCACACTCAATCATGCGGATGTTACGTCAATTCTCATAGGCATGGGACCCAATTGACGCCGCCACCCTTAGGTTTTCACACTGACTGCGACGTGAAACTTCTGCCTTCGGTAGACCTCGACGGGGCCGACTACAAATCAGTCTCCATTGGAACAGCCAGCTTCCAGATCAAATGATAGCCCTTCCCCTGGAACCTGGAACCACCAACATCCACAACTTTCTCTTCCCTGAAACGGTTCGCCTCCCTTCGATGAGCCACGAGTTAGAGATATTCGGCTGTCCTTCCTCTCTTCCGCGAGCTCGCGAGGCGCGAGCAGCGACAAGGACGGTGACAGTGTGAGGGCGCATGGGCGACGGGGAGGAGGGTAGGGGGAGCGAAGATACGGGGTGCAGGGTGCGGGGGATGAACTCGAGCGGAAAGGGCACTGACCTCCAAGGGAGAGGGGGTACCGCTTCTTGCGTCCGTGCCCCTCCTGGCGCGCCAGCTGCTGCATGTGAGGTGCTTCGCTAGCAGGCGCTCTGACGGTGGCATTCGGAGGGAAGACCTCGTCGGCCACCTCGCCCTCATCCTGGGGGAGAGGGTCCGAACACACCAATGCCCGACTACCTTGCCCATAGGCTCCAGTGCAGGAGAATGAGGGCGAGCACCCACACCAACACTTGCAGCTCGACAAGAGAGCTTCAAAACAGCGACGATATCGTCCCGACTTGACCTTCCGCTGGTTGAATTACCCCCTTCACCCTGAGCGGACCGCGAAAAGGAGTGATTGATTTACGTGAACATGGGACGGGCCCTCTCAGACGATCGTTTTTCAAACTCGGTAGCCTCACCGCTCTCGCGAAGGGAGCTTGGAGCATTCCTGCAACATCGCGATGGTCCTGGGGCTTTGACAGGAGAAGAGTCGGAGGTACAACACGAATGCCTCGCTCGAGATATCCCCACAATCTGAGCGCGAACGGGCAGGTGTCCTGCCCCCGCGGCGTCTCCCCCTTGTTGTGCAAACGCGCGATGCATGCTACATCGCGGTGGTCAGGAACTGACAAGAGAGGGGTCGGAGGTGCAAGGCGAATGCCTCGATCGTGGCATCCTCCAAATCTAAGCACAAACAGACAAGTATCCCCCCCCTGTAGCACCCAAGTTCTATGTGGCGTCTTCCCTTGGAGCGCCTAACTGCTATGCCTGCTACATCGCGGTGAACATGGGGCTCTGAAGAGAGAGGCGTTAGCGCTGCAAAGCAAGCGCGTCGCCTGAGATATCCCCAGCATCTGGGCGCGAACGGGCAAGTGTCCTACCCTCTGGCGGCTCCCCTCTTGGGGCGCCCAAGTGCCATGCCTGCTACATCACGGCGATCATGGGGCTCTGGAGCGAGATGAGCCGGAGGTACTAACCAAGCACCCCCCTGGAAACATCCCAAAGATCTAGGCTCGAACGGGCAAACATATTCTACCCCCTCGTGGCTCCCTCTTGTGGTGCTCACATGCCATGCCTGCTACACCGCGGTGATCATTGGGCTCTGAAGGGAGAGGAGTTAGAGGTGCAACACGAATGCAACCATCCCCACAGCCCCAACAACCTGGGGCGTGAACCGGCAAGTGTCCTACCCTGTCGTCGGCTCCCCGCTGTGGCGCCCAAACGCTATGCCTGCCTCATCGCGGCGATCATGGGGCTATGGGAACAAACGGGCTGGAGATGCAAGACGAGTGCCTCGCTCGAGACATACCCACAACCTGGGCGCGAACGGGTAAATGTTCTACCCACAGGCGGCTCCCCCGTGTGGCGCCCAAGTGCTATGCCTGCTACATCTCGGTGATCATGGGGCTCTGAAGGGAGAGGCGTTGGATGGGCACAACACGAGCCTCGCTCAAGATATCCACACAAGCTGGGCGCGAATTGGCGACAGGTGTTCTACCCCGTAGTGGCTCCCCCCTGGGTGTGCTCAAGTGATATGCCTGCTACGTCGGGGTGATGATGGGGCTTCTGAGTATGAGTGAAGCTGAATACGAGTCTGAGTAAGACTCAGTCTGGGCGTGTATGATCTAAGCGTGCGTAGTCTGTGACTAAGCTGAGTCTGAGAGGATACGCGTGTGGGTGGTTTGAGTACGAATGAGTTGGACTATGAGCGAGTTGGTTTTGACTATGCGTGAGTCTGAGTATGGGTGGGTCTGTGCCTGACAAGTCAAAATGTCTGTGGTGTGTGTGGGTGAGTATAAGTATGAATGGCTCTGGGTGTGAGTGGATCGGAGTGGGAGTGTTCGGGGTACGACTGTGAGCGACTGCGATTCAGTCTGACTTTTGTTGGGCTTGAGGGTGAGTGGGACTGAGTATGAGTCTGGGAACACGAGGGGGAGAGGGAAGGCGGAGGAGCCTGGAATGAGGAGCTGAGGCGTCACACTAGTTACAAAAACCCCGCGCACAGAAAACGGTGAGTTGTGCAGGGTCCGCGCTCGCAGCGCCACGATCCCTCATTACGATAGATACGCACACCTGGCGCCACGACATCTAACATATTATGCTGGATCCGCGGTGCCGGGGGCACGGTCCCCCGAGAATTGCGCTGGCTCCGCGTTACAAACGCCTCCTGAGGCCTCCGTACCCCGCTGGTTGCAGATGATTGCCTGCGGCGGGAGCGGCATCCTTGTGCGAGCACGCGCGGGATCCCAAAAGAAACCCTGGGTCTCCACCCTGTCGAGAGGCCTCCTTGATGGGGTCCGAGAAATTAGAGGGGGTCGAAGGATCGCGCCGCATCGCCAATGCATCGCCGATGTATCGGCGATGCATCGGCGACGTCGGCGGAGCATCGGCGACGTCGGCGCGGAGAGACACGCGCTTTACATCGAGCCGATTCTGCGATGCATCGGCAGTGCGGCGCGATCCTCCGACCCCATCTACTCCGATCCCATCTAGGAGGCCCAAGCTGGAGAGGTGTGGCCTCTCGGGGCCCGCAGCAGGGGGCACTCTTCTGTGGGGGGCCCGCAGGCCACCGCGGGGCCATCTTGGACGTCTTCGAGGCGCTCAGGGCACGGTGGGGGCTTTGGATAAGGAACCATTCGATAAGGAATCCAGGGTCTCGAAGCCAGTGGAAAACCAATCGTGGATTGGCCATGGATATCATCGCCGCCGTCATCAGATAAGGAACCCTCCAGGGTTTGCAGCCTCCTGGGCGCATTCCTTAACGAACGCCTCCACCGTATCCCAATGCCTTCTCGAGACTCTGTCGGTCGGGGTGTTGCTAAACGTGCCCATGGCCCAACGCGTGCCCCCAGGATTTCCCAGGAGGCCCCCACGGCCTCCGGAGAACCTCTCACGAGGTCCAGAGAGCCCCAGGGACCCCAAAATGGAGCGAAAAAACTGGGAGGACCTAGGCCAGACCCCACGCCGCGTCGCCATGCGTGCGTGCGTGCGTGCGTGCGTGCGTGCGTGCGTGCGTGCGTGTGTGTGTGTATGTGTGTGTGTGTGTGTGTGTGCGTGTCGCTCTCTCTGTCTCTCTCTCACACTCTCTCTCTGCCTCTTCATACATCTGTAGATCTGTATCGCTGAAAAATATTCAGTTTATGAAGAAACACAAATATCTAGGCATATGCGTGTGCGCGCGGCGGCGACCACAACGTTATGATGAGATACAACCAGGTCCCCACTGCATCATACTTTCGCAATTGACGTGCGCCACCTCATCGTTCAAACAATTGCTGGGCAAACTCGACATGCTGATCTCGACCGAAGTCGACATCGTACCCATGCACGTTACTCGTGGCAAAGGCGTGAAGCGGCCGTCGTGAACACTTGACTGCCCCTGACTGCTCACGAGCGGCGAGCGTATCCATGCTTACACCCTCGCGGTCTGGATTCCGAGGCGCTGTCCCGCGGATACGCGGTCGCACAGACACGTTCCGCGCTGGAAATCCGCGAAGAAACACATCCCGCATCTGCGGGGTCACGGCCCAGAGGCCTGACCTGTGAGGCCGTGGATGTGTAGGACGGGGCGATGGGGGCACCGACAACGTGGAGCCGGTGGGAGGTACAATAGCTCGTTATTGCGAACTCTATTGCGCGAACTATTGCTGGGAGAAGGGAACTATTGCAAGGGGGCGTCACTGTTGAATTTGGGAAAAAGCACACCGCAAACAACTGGGTCCATGCCCAAACTCTCATGCAAATGCTGTCGTAGCTACTCCAGCGCCACATCTGTGATGCCCTCACTGCCCTGGCTTAGAGAATACGGATATGCCCTTCGCCCACGAAACTGGGATCCACTGACCCTGGTCAATCTAGACCTGGGTCAATCATGCTTTGCAAGATCCTGCACGATCCTGCAGGATTCTGCGCCCACGCCCGGAACAGTGCGCCCCTGGTTCCGCAGGATCCTGCAAGATCCAGCGCTCTGGCTGACCCCCCTTTGCATTGGCCCCCCGTCTCTTGAGCGCCGACTATGTGTGTGTGTGTCTCTCTCTCCCTCTCACTCTCCCTGCCTCTCCACATCTAATACATCTATCTGGGCATATGCGTATGCGCGCGGCGGCGATCGCAACGTTATCACAGCGGTCATCGGCGACCGAACGAAGCTGCTGTAAGCGTCCCCCCTTCGAGGTGGGCCACCGACGCCCGCCTTGTACGTCCTGTTCGGGGGCAGCTGGCGCTGCAAGGTAGGCGGCGGCCCGACCGTGAAGGCCGTCGGCTCGCCCGCGGGCTCCTCGGGAAACACTGCGGAAAATGGCATCCGAGTCTTTTCACCCTCGTACGGTTCCTCCCTCCTCCTCCTCCTCCCTCTTCCTCCTCCTTCTCCTCCTCCTCCTCCTCCTCCTCCTCCTCCTCCTCCTCCTCCCAGTAATTACTTCTAGCCTGCTCGATCCCCCTGTCACTTTTCCTCTTCGGAGTTGAGGTCACAGTGACCTCCTGCTCAGGCGGGTTCGCGAAGATGGTACAATTGCGCCACCCCGCCTGAGCTACCAGCGATTGGGCACGACCAGACGTGCATGCCAGCGTTGTGCGCAGGCGCGCGCCTCCTCCTCCTCCTCCTCCTCCTCCTCCTCCTCCTCCTCCTCCTCCTCGGCCTCCTCCGGCGTGCAACATCAGTCTCTGGACAGCACGCTGTCTCTGGGAGACGATTCCCCCGCGAGGGCCCCCCTCTGTGCAGGCTCGGCCCCTCTGCCCAGGGCTTCTCCGATGCACGCTGTCCCGGAGGTGGGGGGCAGCGTGCAGTGAGCGGGCCGGCGGCGCCACGTTGCACGCCATCGTTCCACTCTCAACCGCGCGGAGGACATCCCGGGAGGAGCGCCCCACAGAGGGGCAACATCGAAACCAGCACAGCCCCGCCCCCTTTTCGGCATCTCGCCCTTCGCGGGGCACGAGCCGCGAGAGCGGAGCGGGCCGAGGAGGACGGGAGGGAGAGGAGTGCGGACGCGGGGGAAGCGAAGCGCAGAGACGTGGCCGTCACGGCGACAAGAGCCGTGCACGAGCAGAGCCAGGCATCTCGCACGGCGCGGGGGAATGCTCCACAGAGGCATGCCCACAAACCCATCACCGCATTCGCTTGCCTGAAAAGTCTGACTTATTCGAAGATGACGTCTTGCAGGCATGAGCGCGACAAGCCAACTAGGTACATCAGAACCAGCGGCTTAGGACTTCATCGCCCCAACTTTGACAGGGCCTGCCAGGGAACCTCTTTCCAAAAGTTAACCACAGTGACGTTGCCATTAAAAAGACTACATGGCAAACCGATCGTTTGGCAGATTGTTGGATTCGTACTTTCGAACCTTGGAAAGTACAGCTAACTGCATACAGCTTGCCTGATGTCACCATCGAGGCAATGAACCACTCTGTCGATCAAGGGCTGCCATGGTTTCCCGACTTGGTCATGGTTGTCAGGTGCGTCTTCGTGCTTGCCACTGCTGTTATCGTATGGTGCGCCCATATTAGCTGCGCGCCGTCACCCAGAGCTGGAAACAGCGAAAGCACAGTGTGCCCCCCCGCGGAAAATTATCGCTCGCCTGGGCGCTCACACTCCAGAAGACGAGGCAAACTTCGATAAATCATCGCAGCCCTGTTCATCTTCAGCAATTGCCAAACATACCTGCCAAAGCCTCCCCGCCGCCAAACACATGCCCCCCTCCCTACCGTAGAAAAGCAGCTTCCTCAGATTGCCACTGCCCCACCGCCCACTCTCTTTTTGTTTGCCTCTCTCTCTCTGTCACTCTCTGTCGTGTTATTTCCCTCTCTTTCCCTCTCTCTCTCTCTCCCTCCCTATATCTCTCGCTCTCTGTTCTCTCCTCCTATCCATCTTTTGTGTTTGTTCTCTCTCTCTCTCTCTCTCCCTCTCTCCCTCACTACCTCTCTCACCCACTCTATCAGGTGTCGGTTGCCTCTTTCTCTCTCTCTCTGTTCTTTGTCTCTCTATCTTTCTCGTTTCCCCCCCGTCTCTCTCTCTCTCTCTCTCTTCCCGCGTGTCTCGCTCTCCTTCTCTGTCTCTTTCTCTCCTTCTCCTTCCCCACATGTTTCGGTGAGTTATGGTTTTCTTCCCTGCCGCGTCGCACCCGCGTTTCCCCTTTTCCTCCCCACCCTTTTGCGTTTTTCCCTGTCGCTAAAACTTCCAAAACCACCGTGGCAGACGTTGCACTTCTTCGACGCCACAAGGGGTGCGCTGGGGTTGGTTTCCCAGTCCTTTTCGGGCTCGCAAAGCGTGGCAGGCGTGGCACTTCTCGACACCACAGGGGGTGTGCTGGGGGTGGTCTCCCTGTCCGTTTCGGGCTCGCAAAGCGTGGCAGGCGGGGCACTTCCTGTCACGTCGCACCCGCATCTCCTCCCTCACTCCTCCCTCTTCCCCTCCCCCGTCTCCTCCTCCTCCTCCTCCTCCTCCTCCTCCTCCTCCTCTTCCTTCCTCCATTCACCCACGCGCAACACATGCATGGCGCATCCATCAGACACGCGTCAATATACTGGGCACCCACATGAGACACACATCCAGGTACAGCCGCACACGCATCATACACGCGACGTGCAAGATTCGCAAGGCGTGGCCGGCGTGGCATTCTCTCGACGCCATAATGGGGGTGCGCAGGGAGTGGTCCCTCACCGTGGTCTCTATCCGTCTCGAGGTCGCAAGGCGTGGCAAGCGTGGCGCTTTCCCGACACCATATAGGGTGCGCAAGGGGTGGTCCTTCACCGTGTTCTCTGTCCGTCTTAGAGTCGCAGACGTGGCAGGCGTGGCACTTTCTCGACACCGTAGGGGGTGCGCAACGGGTGGTCTCTCACCGTGGTCTCTATCCGTCTCAGGGTCCCAAGGCGCGACGGACGTGGCACATCCTCGACACCATAGAGGGTGCGCAGAGGGTGATCCCTCACTGTGGTCTATCCATTTCAGGGTCGCAAGGCGTGGCCAGCGTGGCACTTTCTCAACACAATAGGGGGTGCCGCAGGGGGTGGTGCCTCACCGTGTTCTCTGTCCGTCTCAGGGCCGCAAGGCGTGGCAGGCGTGGCACCTTCTCGACACCATGGAGGGTGCGCAGGGGGTGGTGCCTCACCGTGTTCTCTATCCGTCTCAGGGTCGCAAGGCGTGGCAAGCGTGGCACCTTCTCGACACCATGGAGGGTGCGCAAGGGGTGGTGCCTCACCGTGTTCTCTGTCCCGTCTCAGGGTCGCAAGGCGTGGCAGGCGTGGCACCTTCTCGACACCATGGAGGGTGCGCAGGGGGTGGTGCCTCACCGTGTTCTCTGTCCGTCTCAGGGTCGCAAGGCGTGGCAAGCGTGGCACCTTCTCGACACCATGGAAGGTGCGCAGGGGGTGGTGCCTCACCGTGTTCTCTGTCCGTCTCAGGGTCGAAAGGCGTGGCAGGCGCGGCATCTTCTCGACACCATGGAGGGTGCGCAGGGGGTGGTGCCTCACCGTGTTCTCTATCCCGTCTCAGGGTCGCAAGGTGTGGCAGGCGTGGCACTTTCTCGACACCATGATGTGCGCAGGGGTGGTCCCTCACCGTGTTCTCTGTCCGTCTCAGGGTCGCAAGGCGTGGCAGGCGTGGCACCTTCTCGACACCATGGAGGGTGCGCCGGGGGGGGTCCTCACCGTGGTCTCTATCTGTCTCAGGGTCGCAAGGCGTGGCAAGCGCGGCACTTTCTCGACACCATAAAACTGCGCAGGGGGTGGTGCCTCACCGTGTTCTCTGTCCGTTTCAAGGTCGCAAGGCGTAGCAGGCGTGGCACCCTCTCGACACCATAGGGGTTGCGCAGGTGGCGCTCCATGCTGATTAGTCCTGGCGGGCTTGAACGATTCCACTGCGGGCGTACACTTGACGTTTACCCTCCGAAAATCGGTTCTCGGAGACTTGCCAGCATGACCTTTTCGCGCGCCGACCGCGCCACGCAAGGTTTCTCGGGCGACAGCCCGGTAGTGTTAGTCCGCGTGTCCACACCGGAGCGCGCGCGATCTTTCAGTCCGACCTTCGAAAAAATTGGAGACGTCTCGAGTTCGAATCATGGGAGGTCAGTCAGTTGTGGCGGGTACGCAGCCCTCGTCACGATGCCGGAGTTACGATGCTCGTGTCGGTGGGATCCACGTCATCAGATTGGTTCGCGCGTTGCCCGCGCGTGCTTCTTCAGGACAGTTGCATGACGTCTTCCCCAGGGGCCCCGCGACCCAGCTTCAGTTACGCCGATCGCGCCCTCCAATGCCGCAGGTGCACGAACACGCTGACCGCATAAGCGACGGGCATTCTCTGCGTAAAAGGCCACATGGAGTGAATGCCGTCAAGAAGAGTACAAACTACAAGCGGATGGCGGAGAAGAGAGCGGCGTCACCCGAACACGATTAGCCTTTTGGGTCCCGACCCGAAGATCTCGGTCCAGGATCTGGGCAGCAAGCGCACGTAAGAGACACTGATGCGAGTATGGGTCGAAACGAGCTGGGTGTCAGCCGGGAATCCAGAGCGAAGACCTCTGGACCTGCGTGGGTGCAAAGAAACCGCTGCACCCGCGCTCGATCAGTCCATGAGAGCACGCGCTCTCGCCGGCAGATTCTGCGACGAGAGTGCACTGGGGCGCGGCACCTGCCTCCTCGCTGCGGTTCGCGGAGGCCCGATGCCGAACGCGCCCGCCGCTCGTCCCCGCCACTCTCGGCGGTGGACAAACCTCCCTTTAGTAGACCTCCCCTTAGTGAAAACGGCCTGGGACCGAAACCGACGGACCTGAACTCGCCAAAAAGACGGCCGCGACGCCCTCTCGCGAACCGAAAACGGCCAATTCCTGAATCGACGTTTCAGGGTAGGAGGTCTGTCCACTCCCGACACTCTGCGCGCGTGCGAGCCCGAGACTTTCCGTCGACGGGCTTCGCCTCGCGCGTAGGTCCCCGATCCGCCTTGTTTTTGGGCGGCCGCACGAGCAGCGCCTGCCCACGGAGACTTTCTGTCGAAGCGGCGGCGTGCGAGCCGCTTCCTGTGCGACGCTTGAACAACTGAGTTTCTCTTTGGCGTTGTCATCGTCTCTGTCGGCACGCGCCGCGCCGCCTTCGATGTCGGCGAAGCAACGGCCACGAGCAACATGCTCGCAAGTTCCACGTCAGCTACCAACCATCACGCAAGACACACGGGTATGTGGGGCTCCTCGGTAGCGTAATAGTTTTTTTTTGTTCTCTCTCTCTCTCTCTATCCCCCTCTCTCTGTATATGTGTAGGTATATGTTTTTGCACAAACAGGCCAGGCCCAGCGGGCCAAAGGCTTGCTAAGATTCTATATTTTTGGATCGCGCGCGGGGGGCGGTCACCCGCCCCCCCCTTAATAAAGTACCCTGGGCATGGTGGGCACGCCTCGGATCAGAGTTGGCCGTCGGTCTGAGCGCGGCCCCCATGAGACGAAGCCAGGACGATGACAAGTTCGAGTGAGAGTAAATCGAGAATCTCTGAGATCTGGCTCTGACAGACGTCTCGGGCGCCGCGGCCCTCTCAGAGGGTTCCGGAACGTACTGAGAGCATTCCGAACGCTCTGGGACGGGTTTATCCTTGTCCCAGCCCCGTCCAACTTCACGACCCCCGCGGAGCGCTCCAGGAGCGCTCCACGGGGCCTGCAGGAAAGCCCAAGAGGGTCCGACACTTTCCAAAAGCGTTCCCATACGTCCGAGATGGTCTCTTCACGGTCCAAGAGGACTCTTAATGCCACAGGAGCGCTCCCAGTGGGCTCCCAAGGTGGCCCCGAGAGGCCAACATCAGTGCGTCCTCATAAGATCCAAACAATCATGTGTTGAGTTGCGTCCTCGTTGTGAATCAGCAGCGCTGGGCGTCGACCTCCTCCTCGCCCTCCTCCTCCCATCCCTTGCCTCTGCCCTCCGCATGTCTCTGTTTCGACACACCCCTCACACGCTTCGCGGCCCAATATGGAACTCCACTCAGGCCCCAACGGTTGCGCCCGCGTGCCACCACCACCCCACTTTGGCGCACCCCTCAAACGTTTCGTGGCCACATGGGGGCTCCATCTAAGGCCCCAGTGGTTGCGCCCGCATGCCACCGCCACCTCACTTTGGCGCTACGCTCACACGCTTCGTGTCCCCATAGGGAGCTCCACCTAAGGCCCCAGTAGTTGCGCCTCTGCCGCCACCGCGCCACTTTGGTACACCCCATTGCACGTTTCGTGGTCCCATAGGGAGCTCCACCGAAGGCCCCAATGGTTCCGCCCGCATACCGCTACCTCACAATTTCGGCACACCACTCAGACGTTTCGTGGTCACGTAGGGAGCTCCACCGAAGGCCCCAGTGGCAGGAATCGCATGCGTGACCGCGCCCATGGCTGGGCACCCCTCACACGTGGTCCGATAGGGAACTCCACTTAAGGCCGCAGTGGCAGGAATTGCATGCGTGACCGTGCCCACTTCGGCACGCCAATCGCACGTTTCGTGGCCCCATGGGGAGCTCCACCGAAGGCCCCAGTTGCCTGAAACGCATGCGTGACCGTTCCTTGTTCTGCACACCCCTCGCACGTTTCGCGGCCACCTAGGAAGCCTTACCAGATGCCCCGTCAGCAAGAATCGCATGCGTGGCCGCGCCCATGTTGGCACACCCATCGCACGTTTCGTGGCCTTCCACCAAAAAGGCCCCGCCGCCTGCTGCTCCCCAAGCCACGCCCTGCTCCCCCAGGACAGAGTCGGCAGATGCTCGGATCAGCCGTGGCGGGTTACATCCAGATGTAACCTGTTGAGGCTGACCCCTGCGACCCCATCAGCAACGTCGCTCCGTCCTTCACGCGCGCGCCTTAGTCCTTTTGCTAGCCCCCTCCCTCAATTTCCACCTGTCTGGCGGCACTGGCTGCAGCGGCCAGGCGAATTGTTTTTAAGGATTTTAGGGTTCTTGCATTCTCGGCCCTCCGACAATCTAAGACGGCCAAAGAGGCACCCAAGAGAGATGCAAGATAGCCCAAGAGGTACCAAGAGGACCCCAAAAGAGCCCAAGAGGGCCACAAGACGCCCTAAGAGGCCCCCAAGAGGGCTCAAGAGCCGCCCCAGAAAGGCCCAAGAGGAGAACCTGGATTTAGATTTCGAGCCCTTCCCCCAAAGGTGGCCTCCGAGACTGCCAAAGGCCCCCGAGAGGCATCCTATGGTCCCTAAGACCTCCCCCCCCCAGAAAAAAAAGCCACAAGAGCCTCCAAAGAGGCCCTGAAACTGTCCCCACGAGCACACAGGCCAAGGACCGACGATGCTACAGTATGGGCTGGCGGAATGAACGAAGCCATTGGACGCATAAATAGCTCCCAACCATCCTCTGGACCTGGGTCCTAATTGTGAAGAGACAGCGCCCCGCGTCACCTTACCTCACCTCACCTCACTTCCATCTCGCGACTCTCATCCCTCCTCCGATCCGTGCCTCGACCCTCCGCATGCCATCATCACCATCATCACCCTCACCATAATCACCATCATCATCACATCACCATCATCACCGTTAGCATCACCATCATCATAATCGTCATCACCATCATCATCATCATTAGTATCGCCTTCATCCTCATCCTCAACATCCTCATCGTCATCCCCACCCTCATCCTCCTCCTCCGCCTCCTCCTTCTCCTTCTCCTTCTCCTCATCATCATCATTATCATCATCACCATCGTAATGATAATAATCGTCATGGTCATGATTCTGATCATCAACATCGTCATCCTCACCATCCTCATCATCTTCCACATCGTCATTATCATCGCCACCACCACCACCATCATCATCATCCTCCTCACCATCATCTTCATCATCATCCTCCTCATCGTCATTATCATCGCCACCACCACCAAAATCAAAATCAAACTCATCATCATCCACATCATCAACATCACCACAATCGTTCGTCATAGTCACCGTCATTGTCATCGTCATCGTCACCATCGGCCTAACCATCGTCATCATCATCACTATCATTATTATCATCGGCCCCAAGCAACCCTATAGGGAGTCATGCGGTACCGGCCTCCAGTTCCCCTGCTCTCGGCTCCCATTTTGGCACACCCTCATACGCTTCGTGGACTCATAGGGAGCTCCACCGAAGCTCAGCCTATCCCGGCGCACACGTTACACGTCTTCGTGGCCAACTAGAGCTCCATCGAAACTCGCGGGCGGGGGGCGGAGGAAGCGGCCCCCCAGCCCATCTCGGCACACTTCTCACACGTCTTCGTGGCCCCATAGGGCGCTCCACCAGAACCCCCGGGGCGGGTGGGGTGGGGAGCAGATGCGGTCCCCCAGGCTATCTCGACACGCCCCTCGCACGCTCCGGTGGCCCCCTGGGGAGCTCCACCGACGGCCCAAATGGCAAGGCTCGCATGGCGGCGCTGCAGCCATGTCGGCACACCCTGCACACGCTTCGTTGCCCCACAGTGAACCCCACAGAAGCCCCGAATGTCAGGGTTCGCTTGGCTGCACCGCACACATGTCGTCACACCTCTTACGTGTGTTGCGGCCCTGATTTGCGCTGAGCCAGCCAGCCAGCCGCAGGTGTTATCTCTTTCGCGGCGCGCTTGTTTCGGGGAGAGGGTCATAATCTGCGATACTCGCATCTGCATATGATTGGGTTATTCGCCGGGCTACTCTCTGTTTTGACTATATCGCTTTCTCTCTATCTCTCTATCTCTCTCCTCTGTCTAACTCTGGTCACATATCTACATCTATGTTTACATGTGTTCGTCGTTCTCTCCTCTCCCTCTAACTCTCGCATTATCTCGCCTCCCTCTCCCTGTCTCGTTACATGTTGGTTGCCAGTCACTTTCCCTTTCTCTCTCTCTCTCTCTCTCCCTCTCGCTCCATCTCACTGTGTGTTCTCGCTCTCTCTCTCTCTCTCTATCTCTCGCTGTAAACGCACATACATCTGTGTATATAAATATGAGTATATACAAATATAAGTGGGTTTGGGTATCTTTCTCTCTCTCTCTCTCTCTCTCTCGCTTTTTTGTTTCCTTCTCTCTCTCTCTCTCGTTCCCTCTCTTTCCCTCTCTCCCCCTCGCTCCCTCTTCCCTCCCTCCCTCGCGCCCGCCCGCTTCCCCTTCATCTTTCTCCATTTCCAGCCTTCCTTCCCGCACAGCACCCCCATCCACTCCATCGGGTTGCGAGAAGGAGATTGTGGGAGGGGGGCGTGGATGCAAGATAGAACGGGTATACACGAGAGGAAGTAGAAAGAGAACAAGCAATGGAAACGGTGAGAAATTGGGGGGGGGGGCAGGGGACACCGTAGACGGACCAGGCCGTGCCGATCGAGCCTGCCCCCCTCTCGAAGGAGGGAGTTCCAGGCCGCCCTGGCCTCGTCGTCGCCGTGAGCGGCGTCCCACAGCAAACCGCCCGACACGGCGAGGGAGGAGTGCAAGGGGGGGGCAGGGGAGGAGGAGGAGGAGGAGGAGGAGGAGGAGGAGGAGGAGGAGGAGGAGGAGAAGGCAGGGGAGGGGGGGCGGCCTTGTTCGCCGAGCGCTCTGTGGACCTGTGCTGCGCCTGGGCCCAGAAGTCGTCCGCCTGCCTCGGCGACTGCCCTGGGGAGGGGCGCGCGACGGCTGGAGCCCGCGGGGGGGACGCCGCTCGTCTGTGATGGACCTTTTCCGCCGCAGCCTACGACGTGCGAGCAAGGTCTAACAGACGCGACGCCCATCCCATCCAGGCCAAAAGGCAAGAGGTGGGATGAGCTGAGCGGCAAAGCGCGGAGAGCAAGCCGAAGCATCTGTGGCAGGAGAGGCGGACGCACACGGACTCAATCCTCAAAAACGGGGTGCTGGAAACGCAAGGGTGGCGCAACACGAAATTCGCACGTAGACGTTATGTGGCATGGCCTATGTGAGTCAAGCTCGCTATTGAATGAGAGCACGTTCGGCGCCCACCACTGTGTTGTTTTCTGCATGTGTCTGCACACGTCTCGATGTCTGCCTTCCTCTATCCTTCCCGACTTCGTTTTGCACCTGCAAATCCAGTCGCAACCAACTGACGACGCCTGGTGGCTTTGGACGACGCGTCATGGTTGAGCCGTCTCTGCAACGTAGAGAGGCGCATGCGGGTACGGTACATAGTTTCTGGTGAGCGGCATCTTCCAGGTTGACCAGCGCGCTGAGCTCTTGGCTTGTTGCTTCCCCGCCCACGCACCTCGATGCATTGGCTTCAACTTTGGAGGACGGGGGCAAACTCCCCGCGGAACGACTTCACTTTCGTCGCGTTCGTTTGATCCAAGCGTGCAGCTCGCTCCGAACCGTGTACAGCTCTGTGCCAATACAGGCTTATGTCGTTGTTTCTCACGCTCTCTGACCAAGTGAATATGGGCATGCTATACGCGTGCGTAAATCGACGCGCTCGCCTGCGCTCGCCTATCTCCTCATGCAGAGTTGTGTCCACATTTTATCGCTGTGCCCTCTTGCACTCGCTCCGTCCTTCTTGTTAGATTGATCGATATCATCAGACATGTCCCTCTGCACAAACAAGCGGTATCGCGCTCTCTCCCTCTCTTCCTCCCTCTCTCTCACTGTTTCTCTGTTTCTCCACGGGTTTGCCGTCCGCTCACTCTATACATACAAATAAAGACATGCCGTGCAAGATGGATCTACATATGTTTATGCCCCATGCAAAACATCCACCACCGTGCCTTCATCACATCGTTAACCAATATCCACCACCGTACCTTCAGCACGCAGTGGCGTGCCACAGGGTTCACACATATACACACATGTAAGTGCTTGGCGGTGCGCAAGGACCTTGAGGCCCTGGACCGACCTGCTAGAATTATGGAGCGTTTCTGGGCGCCTCCCGCGCTTCTCGCGTGCGCCTCTGAGGATCCCCCCTCCGCAGCGACTTCAACATCCCCAGAGATTAGCCCAAAGAATTGCTCCAAAAGGCTTACGTGGGACCCTGGGTGGCCCCATGGAGATGTCCTGGGGCAATCCCGGGGGCTCGCCTGACCTGGATTAGGGGCCGTGGGGGCCAGCCCAAGGCCCAAATGACTGAACACCAATTATTGTCCTTATGGTAGCAGCGCAATCGTTTTTTCGGTTCTCAAGGTGTCCAAAACGGGCCGGCAGGCCCCAACGGCAGCCCCAAGACGATCAAGAGAGCAGAACAACGGCCTCGACGGGCCCACGAGCCATGTGTACATAGTTTTGTACATCGTGTATATATATATATATATATATATACACACAGGTATATCATTCACCAGACGGCCTGACCAGCAGGGGCGAGGGCGAGGCGAGAGAGGAGGGAAGCCCTGGAACTCTCGCCGATCACCTGGTTCACATCAATCCACGTTTGGCAACTAGTTGCCTGTGTGAGGCAATATCGCTAGAAGAACGGCTGGATAGATCGCAATTCCACTGCGGCCTCGAAGAGGCGGAACGCTTCAAACGCTCCCGGGAACAAGAGACGCATGCTGAGCAGGACGAATTAGAAAAATAGATCAGCCATCACCAAAGAAAAAAACCCGACAATTCCTTCAGGGTGGCGGGTGGGCCACTGTGAACCAATAGGATTATGGATAACACGAGACACTCGGCGCACCCTTGGGTGAGCAACCGTACACCGAATGTACAATCGTGAGATTGATGAATAGATCCTTCACCCGATGGCCTGACCAGCAGGGGTGAGGGCGAGGCGAGAGAGGAAGGAAGCCCTGAAACTCTCGCCGATCACTTTCTTCACATCAATCCACGTTTGGTGACTGGCTGCCTTTGTGAGGCAATCTCGCTAGAAGAAGAACTGGATATATCGCAACGCGACTGCGGCCTCGGAAAGGCGCAACGCTTCAAAGGCTCCTGGGAGCAAGTGACGAATGTTGAGCAAGACGAATTAGAAAGTTCGATCAGCCATCGCCGAGGACAGAGCCCGACGTTTCCTTCAGGGTGGGCGTGTGGGTCACTGTGAGCCAAAAGAGGGGGCACTCGGCACTTCCTCGGGTTGATGAATAGATCCTTCACCCGATGGCTTGACCAGCAGGGGCGAGGGCGAGGCGAGAGAGGAGGGAAGCCCTGGAACCCTCGCCGATCACCTGGTTCACATCAATCCACGTTTGGTAACTGGTTGCCTCTGTGAGGTAATCTCGCTAGAAGAAGAGCTGGATATATCGTAACTCGACTGCGGCCTCGAAGAGGCGGAACGCTTCAAAAGCTCCCAGGAGCAAGAGACGCATGTTGAGCAGGATGGACTAGAAATAAATATAAATATATATATATATATATATATCAGCCATCACCCACAACCCAGATTATGATTCACGGGCGGGTGGGTTGGGACATAAAGACAGGCGAGTAAGAAAGCATTCTGGCACGCGAGCTTCGGTCAAGCGCGAGACTGAAAGGCCGCGCCTGTAGCTCGAAGATGCGGGCTCTCGAGCCGGCTGGCCGCTCGCCTGGGAGCGAGCAAAAATCTGCGGAGAGAGACGGCTGATCCGACGCAGCATCCGGCCTTTCTTGCCGCGCCGTGCCACGGAGCGGTCACTCAGTCAGCCTCCGCGCCTCTTGAGCATCGCGAAGGCAGCAAGGCCGTTGAGATAGTCCAGGGATGGGCCGCCATGGCGCAGCGTGCGCAATGAAAACTTGACCGCCACCAGCCCCAGGTCGCGGCTAGCTTCGCGGAAGAGGCGCTCGAAGGTGGACAGCGCGAGGCCCTCGGACAGGCGCTGGACTCGTCGCGAATTGGCTCGGGCGACCAACTGACGGACAAGTTGCCGGAGCCATCTGCGGGGCGGGGCGGGAGAGCCAACCATCGCGGCGTCGTCAAACTGCTGGTTCTTGCCGGGCCGCGGGGCGTTGCCGTCCGAGGGGGCCTCGACGAGGGCGACCTTGTCACGGCGACTCCCAATCTTGTGGGGGGGGCAGCGCCACGTGATCGAACGCAAAGCTGACCGCGGCATCGGGGCGGAGGTGCGTGCCGAACTGGATCGCACCACGTGCTACAGCGAGCACCATCTCGGTCGCGCCTATCTCCAGCCAGGGGTCAGCGACGGCGGCATGCACCTATGGGCATGGATCGCGGCTCAGCTCTGGGCAAGCCTTAACCCACCCAGCCAACGACTTCGCAGCATACGGCAGCGAGCGCGAGGGCGCGACGACGCCGCGCAGGCGGGCGCAGCCGAACAGGGCGCGCCGGCCCACCCAGGTCTCGCAGCCATCAAAGAAGAGAGAGTTGAAGTGGGCCGAGGGGCTGTTGTCCAATTGTTGCAGGGGTGCCATCGGGCGAAGTGGAATCTGCTGGCGGGCCTAGCTCACGAAGCCCGCCGAGCACGATTCATAGTTCAGGAGGGCGCCCTTGCCCACGGTCTTACGCTCCAGAAAACGCCCACCAGGGTCATGTCTAGCAGCAGCCCTCCGACTGGCCGCCTTAGCATCGCGTCGTCGATGTCGATCGGGCAGCGGCTCGCCGCGGCCCGACCCAGACAAGCCTTTGGCCCCAGTGATTGACGGCTACCTTCCAGGGGCTCCAGTAGCGCTGCGGGCAGGCGGGCTTGACGACGTCGGCGGGGGCTGGGCAGCCAGCGGCTCGCGCCGGGTATGCTTCCCACTGCTCCGACGAAGCGGCATTCGCCCGACGGGCCGAGGCGGGTGCTGCCCGCGCCAGAGTGGCTGCCCAGGACCTGCACAATCGACGAGGAGATCGCCCTGCCAGACTGGGCTTCCACACCCATCGCTGCCGAGCCCCAGGAGGAAACAAGACTTCCCCCTCGATGGTATCATGCTCATGTTTGCCGTGACGCAGTCGATGTAGCCCGAGAAAGGCCCCCATGTTGGTGGCCGCCAGCGTCGGTTTGAGGTGGCCCGCTCCGTAGGCGCAGATATCGCATCGGACGAAGATCGCGTTTTGGGTCTGCAGCACTTTCATACAGGGCTCTCAAGTAAACGGCTTTGACGAACGCGGATTCTCGAGCGAGCAGAAGACGCCACGCCGCCCGCAGAGCTCGATGAGGCCCAGCGAGAGCCCAGCGAGCTCAAGGCCTCCAGGAAAAGCAGTGCCCGAGCCCGTCGCGCGGGCCCTCGACCAGGTCGCACACTGGGCCCCCAGGTGCAGGTACCGCGCGAGCCCCCGCATGAGCAATCCCTCAATGTGCCTCTGGGCCCTCGTCCTCGAGGCGCCCGCGCAGGGGCCCTTGGAGACCTCGATGGGGCGCCCGACGCCGAGGCCGATGTCGGAGCACGCGGCGGAGAGCATGGCGGAACCAGCGAAGATCTCCAGGACGAACTGATGTAGAGACGGTGTGCTAGCGGACGGGATCTCCCCTCTGCGAATCGATCACGAGCGAGGTCCACGCCGCCTTGTCCGTCGGCGCGGCTGCTCCACGCTCGTGGAAGGTGGGGCAGCAAAATGCATGCGAGGCACAATGCGACCGAGAGGCGACCGCCGCTCAGGAGGGTGCCGCTCTCGGGCGGGCGGCGCCTGTGCGACCGGCGACCGCCGAAGACCCGTGCGCCCCATGCCAGAGCGCGAGGGCGGCGGTCGGCGGGCCCGAGTCCGCGTCTGGGCGGCGAGCGTCTCCTGGCTGGGGTCGGCCTCCGAGCCCCGCTAGCGCTGCCGGGGCGCGGCCCGCCCTTGGCGACCGGAGACGGACGCCCCGCAGGCCAGCTCGCCGCGGTCGGCCGCCCTCGAGTCGAAGTCGGTCGGGGTCCTCTTGCTCTCGGCGTACCTGAGAGACCAGTCGAGCTCGCGCCCGATAGACGGAGCCCGGGCGCGCCGGCGCAGCCGTCGCAGGGCGAAGCCGGTAGAGCGCCCCTTCTCGAAACTACAAGTTGAGAGGGGCCGCCCCCCGCGAAGCGGGGCGCATCGCGAGGCCCGAGCCGGGCCCGCGAGCAGCGCGCGGCCCGCCTTCTCGTGGATGACCCCCTCGCACTGCGACGAGCCCTTGATGGCCGGGGCCCGGCGGCCGCTCCCCAGCAGTGCGTCCGGCAGGTGCGGGATCCCCACCTCCTCAGCTGAACGCACGACAGTGTCGACGTCCCGCCACGTCCACGGCGCGGCCCCCCCGTTGCCCGACTCCGCCGCGAAGGGCCGCGCCTCGTCCACCACCGATGGCCCGAGGGGCGGCAGATGGCGGCGGCGCACAACGTGGCCCGCTGCGCCGGTCGCGCCGAAGGGCGGCCCGCAGGGCCAGGTGGAGCCACGAAGTCAGAGGAGACTTAAGCCGAAGTAGACGACGGAGGCCGCCCACCTCGACCCCCAGGAGCTCGGGCGACTCCGCGGGCTCGTTTTCCACGTTGTAATGGCGGCCGCCCCCGCCGAGGTCGCCCTCGATGGCGTCCGGCGGCCGTTGGGGGGCGCCCCGACTGAGGCCGAAGACGTTGGCGTTGTCGACGCGCGGCAGCCTGTGGGCCAGGTTTGTCCGCGGCGGCTCGGGGGCATGCCGATCCTGCAAGAGGCTGGCCGCGGAGCGGCCCGCGGCGGAAGCGATGGCACGGCAGAAGTGGAGGGCCCGCGACCACCCCGTCGAAGACCGGGAAGAGCATCTCGCCCGGGCCGACCTTGACTAAGCATCTCGCTCCTCGTCGTAGATATTCCTGAACCCCCCAGACGTCGGCCCGCTCGGCGAAGTCGACCCCGGACGGCGACCCCAACTTGCGGTGGCGGAACTGGCTGAAGTCGTTGCGCAGGTCGACCGAGGCCGCGCAGACGTCGGGAGGCTCGCTGGAGCCCGCCGCGGTGTCGGAGAGGTCGAGGGACCCGAGCGCCGCGACGGTGCCCAGCCAGGTGCGTGGCGAGTGTCGGCGCATGCGGTTGGCCTCCCTCGCGTCAACGATGAGCCAGAGGGTGCCGCCCTTCTTAGAGACGGCGAATTCCCCCCATCCTGGCCCCGATGGAGCGCCGGAAGCCCAGTCGCCCGAGCCCGCGGAGCCTCGTCTGCAGCCGGAAGCGCTCCTTCCTGGAGAAGCGCAGCATTGGGTCCTAGTAGGGCGAGAACGGCAGCTCCTCCTGGTTCCTGAGCTCGAGGTCGGCGCTGTCCCAGAGGATGCGCTGCCCGGGGTAGGCCAGCACCTCGCGTTGGCTCGGCGGCGCCAGCTCCAGGACGCCCTTGGCCGCGATGCCGCGCGCGAGAATATTCTCGACCCGCTCGTGCGAGTATGAGCCCAGGTGGCGCTCGAGATCGCAGAGGTCCTCGGTGCGCAGGAGCTCCTTGAGGACCCCTTGCTCGCAGAGGTCGCCAGGTCGCCGCCCAGCTGTCCAACGCCGCGCGCCAACCGCTCGAAGACCGATCGACTGATCGGCCGGAAGGCGCGCTCTCCTCGCGCTCTTCGCCCTCGCCCAGCCGGGCGGAAAGAGCGCGACGGGCCGGCGTCCAGGGCGTTGAGCGCCCCCTGCGCCGAGTGGATCCGCCGCTCGCCCGCCTTCGGGGCCTTCGCCGAAGGCGTCGGGGCAGTCCTCGCAGTTCGCGCCGAACTTGTTCAGGTACCAAAGAGCTCCCCGTGCCATCGGACTCCCTTCTCGCCCCCGTGCATGGCGACGCCGCCGCGCGACGCCCAGCGCCTGGGGGCCCAGCGCTGAGCGCGGCGACGCCGCGCCTCTCGGGGCCGATTTGGACCCCGCGCCAGGCTCAGACTCCTTGCCCGCTCGGCGATTTTCGTCCGCCGCTCTCTCTTCCCGCCACAGCCGCTGCTGCTTGAGGAGGAAGGCCTCGTCCTTCTGCCGTTCCGACACCCACGTCGTGGAGTTCTTCGTGGTCAACTCACCGCCTGTGCCGGTCGGATGCGACATGACCACCTCCGACCCCTCGAAATCTGGCGACCTGGGATTTCGCCGAACTGCTGCCTCGATCTGGATCAACCGTCTGATGCGCGTCTCGTTCGACAGGCTATTCGTCAGCTCATGCTGGTCCACGCTATGCGCCGCGTAGACGGCGCTGCCCAAGTGCTTGCGCCCCCGCGCAATGCCCGACTTCAACGCCACTCCGCTCTTCATCTCCCAGCGCAAGTTGTGAGTCACGCAATTAAAGCCACAGCGCATCATAAACTCCATGAACTCGTCGGCTGTCTGGGGGCCTTCGAATGGCTCGTACGGCATCTTCCACGAAATTGAAGCCACAGCTCATCATATTCACCATGAGCTCGTCGGCTGCCTCGGGGCCCTCGAAGGGCTCGTGCGGCATCTTCTTCTTGCTCTGTCTCTTCGTGGCCTCGTCTGGGGGAACGAACCTCATGTCACGGTGGTCTCAAACGTCTCCGAGCAACCGTGGATCGCGTCCTGGGCCGCAGCGCTTCGCCGACAACCAAGCTTCTACCTTGTCGTCGACGACCTGCTGGATCAAGACGAACTCTTCGTCGGTGGTAACCCAGTCGACCTTGTCCTCCAGGCTGCACCCCTCCCGATCTGGCCAAAGGCCTTGCGTGCTGTGTCCGCGACCCACCAAGTAGCATTCTCCACTGCGGCCGCGGGGCCCCCAGCAGTCTTGACCCCCGTCAATTCGAAGCCCGCGACCTCCGCGAGCTCGTAAGCCTCGGCCCTCGTCGATTTTCTCGTCTAAGACGAAGGCCTCGCGGAGGTACTGGGGGTCGATCGGCACTCCCCGCCGAAAGATGCGGATCTCATGGCTCGAGAGGTCCGCAACCTGCACGGCGAGAGCGGGTGAACACACAATCCATCTTCCCTGACATCCAGGAGTGGTAGGATACGAGCGTGCCAATTCAGTCCGATCTCGTCTCCGAGAAAATATATCAGAGCATGCTTCTCTGGTACGTTATGTGCTCTATGCTGAACCATCCCTCAAACACAACGCGGTCGGAGTAGCAACGGTCGACCTCGGGTCCGGTAGCTTATCTCCTCCTCGAACTGCCTCCAGCCGCTTGCCACGCCAGCCGGGTCAGTGCCCGAGGCAGCACCTCCTATCTCCGCAACTCAGCGCCAGGCCGAGGTGGAACTGCAGCAACAACAGCCACGGGAACTCGCAGCCCTGGACCTCGCACTCGGGGCAGGTCTCTGGTGCCGCGCACTCGGCCGCCGGCGCGTGCGCGCGCAGCGGTCGCGAGCTCGCCCACCAGCTGGTAGCACGCGCTGGTGTCCAGGCACGAGACCCCCGGACAGGTCGGACAGTGCTGCTCCGGGCAGCTCAGCGAGACGTCCGGGCACCGCTGCCCGAGCCCCGACAGATCGCGGGCCACGACCTAAAAGAGGTGGGGAGAAGCGGCGGGGTCCATGCAGATGTCGCCGCCACGGGACCCCCAATCGCTGTAAGCCGATACAATGATGAAAGAGAGGAGACACTCGGCGCCTGCTCGGGTCAGCAACTGTACTCCGAATATACAATCATGGGACGGTTGAATATACAAGTATACATTTGTATACGTATATACATGTATATACACCTATACTGTTATACCTATATACATGTATGTGCGAGGGTACAAGAACTTTTGTGGGTATCCTGTGGCACAAAATAGCGGCGCTTTCCCAAACTCATCCTGTGTTGGGTCCTTGTTTTGCATACGCATCGCCCCGCGCCTTTCCTTCCTCACCTCCCCTCATCCTCGCCCTGCTCCTCTTCCCATCGCCCCCCTCCTCCCTCCCTCTTGACTCTGCCTTCCGCATGTCTCTGTTTCGGCACACACCACACACACTTCATAGCTCTGCGGCAGGGTCCGCAATGTGACTCGGGGAAAACGAATGCAAAACGAGGTTCCCTAATATCCTGTGGTGTCAGGCCCACGCTTCAAAAGAACAGCGCCCCGCGTCCCACCTCCTCCTGTTTCTCTCCTCCCGCTTCTCTCCTCCCCCCTCCTACCCACATCCCTCAGCTGCCGCACTCCTCCCTTCTCCCCGCCTTCCTGCCTCTGCTTTCCGCAAATCCACTTCGGCACACCACCTCACACGTTTCTAGGCACCATTGAAAGTTCCACCGAAGACCAACCACAATACCCCATGCACGCTTCCTGGCACCAGAAGGAGCTCCACCGAAGGTCCCAGTAGCTGCGTCCACATGCGCCCCCGCTTCCCATTCCCGCACGCCCCTCACACGCTTCATGGCCCCACTGAGAGCTCAAGTCAAGGCCGAAGTGGCTGCGTTCAAATGCGCCCCCGCCGTCCATGTCGGCGCACTCCTCACACGCTTTGTGGCCCCATCAGGAGTCCCATCGAAGGTCCCTAATCACTGCGCCCATATGCGCCCCCGCCGCGCATTTTGGCACACCCATCAAACGCTTCGGGGCCCCATCGGAGGCTCCACCGAAGGCCCCAGTTGCTGCGTCCACATGCGCCCCCGACACGCGTCGTGGCCCAGTAGAGAGTCCCACTGGAGGCCCCAATGGCGGCATCCACATGCGACCCATCCACGCATTCCGGCACCACCCTCACATGTTTCCTGGCCCCATGGGGAAACCCACCGAATACCCTGCTGGCTGCGTTCACATGCGTCCCCGCCGCCCATGTCGGCACACCCCTCGCAGTTTCGTAGCCCCAAATGAAGCTCCGCCGAAGTCATAGGTGGCTGCGACCAAATCCCTCCCCTCCACTCATTCCTCGCAACCCTCTCACGTTGCGTGGCCCTATACATCGGCCCAATGGAAGTTCCTTGAATTTTCGTCGCACCGCTCGTTCGCGGAAGCCGACGGAAGAAAAACGAGGCGGAAGACGGCGGAAGGCCGTTGGAAGGCTTGCGGAAGACAGGGGAAGTAAATGACGCCCTGTCCGAATCCCCCGACCCTCGTAGAGGCCCAGCAATGTAGCCTTCTGCCGTTGGCCGGGCGGGGTCCTGTCTAACTTACTCCGTTTTCTTAATATAATAAATCCCACCAATAAAAAATCGGGTAAACAAATCTCCCAGGTCGTTCACAGATCCCGCCGTGCTGGAATAGGCTCGAAGTAAGATGGGGCCCCGAGGTTGCAGCATTCCTGCCATGTCAGGGCCGTCAGGACGTCATCTTGAGACCATAGATCGGTCATGCTTGGATCGCGCAACCGTCGCGTGTTCACTCTGGGGCCACCTGGGGCGCTCGTGGATCCATCTTGTTGCCATCGGGCCATCTCGGCGTCGCCCGTGGCTCATGTGCCCGGTCATCTTCGAGTCCGCCTGAAACGGTGCAGGATCCATGGCGGGATCGTGTTGGGGTGACGTCATCCCGGGGTCGTCTGGACGTTATCGTTTGTGGCCTCAGGCCCTCCTGGAACCATATTGCGGCCACGGGGAAGTCCTGGGATCGCGCGCGCGCGAGCGCTGAGCACATGTGCGCGGCAACTCATCTCGCCGACGGGCGTACATACATATACTTCTTGCTGGGAGTGTCCAGGGAAGCTTTTGTCGGAGCCAAGTAGGGGACTCCACCGAAGGCCCAAATGGCTGCGTCCACATGCGTCTCCGCCGCCCATGTCGGCGCACTCATCACGCGCTTCGCGGCCCTACCCGAAGCTCCGCCGAAGGCCCCAGTGGTCTGAGTCCACATACGCGCCCGCCGCACATACTGGCACACCCTGAACAATTTCGAAGCCAGACAGGGAGATCCCTTGAAAGCCCCAGTTGCAGCGTCAACACACGTCTCCGCCGCGCATTTCGACACACCCCTTACACGTTCCGTGGCCCCGCAGGGAGCTGAACCGCTTCTCCTCTCCTGCCTCGCAGTACTCGCAGCGGCATGTGGATTTCTCTCCCTCTCTCTCTCTCTCACTCGCCTCTCGCCTATCTCGATCGATGTGTATACAAACAGCGATGTGTTCGTCTCTCTCTCTCTCTCACCCTCTGTCTCTCTTTCTCTCCCCCCGCCCTCTCTCCATCTTCAGATCGAGCGCTTAGCTCTGTTGTGCTTGACCACTACGAAGCACCCTCGCGCCCCCAAGGTCAGCGGGCAGCCTCTGTCCTCGACGAACACCAGCGAAATCTTGCAAGCGCGTTGCAGCGGCACCCAGGAGACACTCGCAAAGCCATCTTGAAACACGTCGGATGCTCCTAGGACCAGAGGAACATCTCTGGGTATGGAAGACCAGGAATGGGGCTCAACACAGAACTTAGTGTGCGCATCGCGGGCTTCCCTGTGAGACTGCTGCGCCGGGGGCACTACAATTCAACTTGTCAGCAACGGTTTTCTTCACAAGGACAGCGAGGGGAAAACACAGAACCATGGGCTGGAACGTACACGCCGACGACAACAACGCGCGTGTGTGATTCACATCAATCTGGTAAGCCGCGTGTCTGGGAATGCTGACACCAAGCACGCGCGATCATCACTAGGACTACGCATGATTCGGCCGAAACCTAAGGCAACCTTCAAACAGCAAACGGAGCAGCACCCAGCGACGCGTACAAACCACTCAAGCCGTCGGGCGGCACTCACGGGGGGAAAGCTTCACCAGGACCTCCACGCGACGATAATCTGCCGGGCTCCCGAGGCCAGGGGGCTGCCGACCTCTGGTCCCAGCATCGCCCAAGGGCGGCAAGGCCCCAACGGGAGGGGACCCTGACGTCGGCCGGACTCCGCCCGCGGAGCCGCCACTGCCTTACCTCTGCCGGCCCTCCGCCGAGGAAGCGGCACTCCTTTGAGGGGCCAGTTTTTCACCACCACTGCCATGGCTAGGACAGGGGAGAGTGGAGGATGGGGAGGTCCTCCTCCTCCTCCTCCTCCTCCTCCTCCTCCAACCTCTGGTAGTGGTGGTGGAGACTCGCCCCATCATCTTCGATGCCTTGCAGACGAGTCCCTTTCTGGAGCGCGCCATGCCGCGCCGCTCCGAGGACCCCCCAGGAGCTCGGGCGGTGGCGAGCGCTGTGCCTGCAGATGCCGGCCGGGGTCGCGCCGGCCCGCCTGGAACCTCGCGAAGCGCTGGCCTTTTTTCACGTGTGGCAGCACCCGTGGAAGCGGTGGTTGCCAGGTACCGCTTGGATGCCCGTGCCGCGCCGCTCCGCTGGACTCCCCAGGAGGTCAGAAAGTGGATGCCGTTCGACGTGGTCCCGTTTGGCTGCCTGCGTCGTAACGCTCTACTGGGCTCGCATATCCTCAGGTATGGCTACTTCCTACATGTTGCGCAAGACGATTGCAGTCGAGGCGCATCTTGCCGTAACCATCCCTGCGCAACCCTGGGCAGGTCCTCGCACCCCGCCCCCTGAAGAGGCTGTGCAAACAGTCTTCCCACACGACGCAGCATGCATCTGAGGCGAAATCTCGTTTGGAAACCCATGTCGCGCCGCTGCGTCGGACTTCCTGGGGTCTCGGGAACTGGCGGCGATTCGGCAAGCAATTGAGCCCGTGCTCCCAAATGGCTCCGGAAGTGTCGGCACTTTACGCTTGGCATCACCACAAACAACGAGATCCCGCTTGGGATGCGTGCCCATCGCGCGCCGCAGCTCTGGATTTCTCAGGGGCTCACGCAATAGCCACCGTTCGTTTTGTGGCAACGCCTGGGGAGGCGCAATCCCGTTTCAACACCATGTAAGTATGTCGGGTGCGGGAACAGCAGCCCTGGCCCAGGGTGCCCCCAAATTTTCGCGCCATCTTGGGCCCCCCAGGGCTCTATGGGTCCCGTACGGGAAGCTCCAGAGGCCATCTGGGCCTTCCTGGACATCTTGGGGGTAACTTGGGCCAAGGATACCCCTGGCAACGCCCCCGAGGGTGTCGCACCGCCCCGCTGGACTCCCGGAAGGCTCACGGCTTGGCGACCGGGCTACGTTTGGCAACACCTAGGGAGGCGAGGTCCCGCATGGGTGCCCGTGTCGCGCGGCCCCGCTGGAATCCGCCCAGGGGCCGAGGAAGTGACGAACGCTCCACGCTTCGCAGCACCCAGGACGCGGAGGAGGTAGGACACAGGGATGATGACGGAGGGGGGGGGGGGGGGAGGCAGGGATTCTCGGAGAGAAAGGGAGGAAGTGGGAGGGAGGAAGGAGATGCGGGATGAGGTTAGAAGCACCTGTTGTATTTGCAAAGGGGGCCCGACAAAAATAAGGGGTGGTATTGTGTCAGCGGACGATGGCACAACGTCTGGCACGCCCGAAACCACAATCTTGCAAACAGTGTAGCGGCACCGCCTCCATACATCTGAAGCTGCACATCGGTGCGCAGGTGTATGAAAGAAGATCGGCCGCTTGGCTGAGTACTTCTGACTTGCACATGTTTCGGCCGGCCCTGAAAACAATCATTCGGGCCATACCTCCTTAACTCTAGTTCGGGAAACAATGGTTGAAGCCATGTCTAGCACTTCCCATACGAGCAGCTCAAGGGTGCATGCGCGAAGGATGTCTCCCTCAGGACCTGTGGTGCCGCGTCTGGGCCTGGCTCCATGCGGCTGCCCCCGATCGCAGCCTCCTCCTCCTCCTCCTCCTCCTCCTCCTCCTCCTCCTCCCCTTCCTTCTCGTCTTCCTCGGGCTGCTGCTCGAACCTCCTTCTTCTCTGCCGTCGACCCGCTCTGCCGTGCGAGCGGTGAGTTCCGAAGTGCTGTGCCATCTTCTCGGTGGCGGATCCTGGGCAATGGGGCGCCGGCCCCCCGCTCCTCCAGAAGTGAGGAGTCGCCCTCCGCACTTCTGGAGCGGGAATCGTCTGAGGACAGAGGCTGCTCAGCCAGTGGTGGATGTCGGAAGACCCCGAAGGTGCGACTCCCGATGTCACCCTCCGCGCCCACCCCAGCCGCTCTCGGACTTCCTCCCCCTCCTCCTCCTCCTCCTCCACCCCCTCCCCCCCCCCCTCCTCCTCCTCCTCCTCCTCCTCCTCCTCCTCCTCCTCCTCCTCCTCCCCTTCCTTCTCGTCTTCCTCGGGCTGCTGCTCGAACCTCCTTCTTCTCTGCCGTCGACCCGCTCTGCCGTGCGAGCGGTGAGTTCCGAAGTGCTGTGCCATCTTCTCGGTGGCGGATCCTGGGCAATGGGGCGCCGGCCCCCCGCTCCTCCAGAAGTGAGGAGTCGCCCTCCGCACTTCTGGAGCGGGAATCGTCTGAGGACAGAGGCTGCTCAGCCAGTGGTGGATGTCGGAAGACCCCGAAGGTGCGACTCCCGATGTCACCCTCCGCGCCCACCCCAGCCGCTCTCGGACTTCCTCCCCCTCCTCCTCCTCCTCCTCCCCCCTCCCCCTCCTCCTCCTCCTCCTCCTCCTCCTCCTCCTCCTCCTCCTCCTCCTCCTCCTCCTCCTCCTCCTCCTCCTCCGCGAGCAGGAACCTGGCAGCATCTCTCATCTTTTCCTTCTCACGCCTTTCTCCCTCTGCTGCGCTCTAGGCCGCACCGAGGCGCGCACAGCGGCACAGACCGCCACGAGCTGCCCCTGCCGCGAGCAGGATCCGGCAACACCTCGCACCCCATCCATTTCGATCCTTGCCCCCGTTGTTGCGATTTCTCTGTCGCACCGAGGCGCGCGCGGCGGCATAGACCGCCAACGAGCTGCCCTTGCCGCGAGCAAGAACCTGGCAGCATTCCACTTCTCTTCCTTCTCACGTCTTTCTCCCTCTGCTGCGCCGTCCAAGGCGCGCCGAGGCGCACGGCGGCACAGACCGCCACGAGCAGCCCCAGCCGCGAGCGGGAACACGGCTGCATCTCGCATCCGTGCCCTCTTGCTCCCTGCCCCCTCTGTTGCGCTGTTTGCCCCTGTCTCGGTTGGCTTCCCCGCCCGCCCTTCTTACCCTCTCGCCTGGGCTGCTCCCTGCTCCTGTTCCTGCTTCTCCCCTCCACAATTACTCAATATGAATACTACTCTCCCTCTTCCCCTGATGGCGTGCTGGGAGTAGTAGACCCCCCCCCTGCGCTCTTTTTTATTTACACAAGATTCCCGGGAGTTGGGTTTTCGCCTGCGTTTTTTTTCAAAATGCTGCTCTCGCTGAGGCGCCGGCCTCATTTCTGCTCCCGAATCGTTCCGAATCGTGCTCCCGCTGCAGCGTGGGCCTCATTTTCGGATCGGTGTTTGGCCTCCGTCGTTCAGGATGGCGTTCTCGCCCCAGCGCGGGCCTCTTTCTCGCGCGCCCATCCGCCCGCCACCACCGGGCCGCACCACCACCACCGACACGCTTCCGCCCGTTTCGACTCGTGCTCCCGCTGCAGCGCTGGCGTCATTTCCCGTGCCATGCCACAGCACACGCGCACACACGCACACACACACCACCACCACCACCACCACCACCACCACCACCACCACCACACACCACCACCACCACACCCAGCACCACCCACCACACCACCAGCACCACCAGCACCAGCACCAGCACCAGCACCAGCACCAGCACCAGCACCACCACACCACCACCACACACGCACGCACGCACGCACGCGCACCACCACCCACTACGCACGCGCGCGCGGAGCCACAGGTCCGCTACGACACGCGTCCGCGGATAGAGAAAATCAGCGCCATGGTAAGGGATGGGAGGGAGGGGTAGGACGTCAGATATGACGCGAGCGCACCTAGCTTGCCCTCTTCCCCCTCCTCCTGTCGCTGCCCAGGCGATCCCCTGTCTGGCTGCCGCTGGATCGGTTCTTCCGCTTGTCCTTCTCCCCTTCTCCATGTCTTGGGGTTTTCTCGGGAGTCCCCCCTCTCTCTCACCCTCCCTCGGAGTCTCCGGCGATGCTTGAAAAGCTGCCCGAATCCCGCCCAGCAGCTGCCAGGGGATCCAGGACAACTCCAAGAGGCCACGATCTCCCAACTGAGGCTGGAGACCGTAGCAAATTAGGACCCTCTGGGAGGCCTTGCCCGGGCCTCCTGAGGCCTCCAGAGGGCTTTCTCGGGGGCCCTTGCCCCCTTCGGAGCGTCCAGGGAGGCCCGACAAGCTGCCAGAATCCCGCCCAGCAGCTGCCAGGGGCCCCAGGAAAGCCCCAAGAGGCGACGATCTCCCAACTGAGGCTGGAGATCGTAGTACATTTAAGGCCTCTGGGAGGCCCTGCCGGGGCCTCCTGAGGCCTCCTTGGGGCTTTCTCGGGGGCCTTCGCCCCCTCGGAGCCTCCAGGGAGGTCCGACAAGCTGCCAGAATCCTGTCCAGAAGCTCCCAGGGGCCATCGTTTCGCCCGCAGGGGCGTCAGCGGACGTGCTGTCCCGAAATGGCGAACTTGGGTACCAGAGCGCGCCCGGGAGCTCGAGCTCCAGAACATGCCTGAGCCCATCCGCGGTGCACCAGACATGGGGAGGGACAGGGCAGGGGGGAGGATCTGGGTGGCCGCCACAGGGGCACTTGACGCCGCTTCGGCGGTCGGCGTGGCGCAGGCGAGCCTTCCCAGCGAGCAGGCAGCGTTGCGCCCCACAAACGGGTACCACGCAAGCAACAAAAGAGCGGCATTGCCACCGGACGCTCAATACGGCCGAACTCTGCCCCAAGACGGCCCTAGAGGCTTCGAAGCGAAGACCGCCCAAAAGTGCGTTCGATTGCCGGAAAAGAAGCCCGAAAACGGCTTTTGCCCCCTCTGACCAGGACCCGAGGCGACGAGGCTGAGAACGGCCCCGAGGCGAGTCCGGGGACCCCCCCACTCTGGGAGTCCACGGGCCGCCCGTGGGCCCCCCCCCCCCCAGGAAGGGGGTCCTGGACTCGCGGCTGGGGCCCTTTCGGGGCGGCCTCGTTTGGTTCAGAGCTTCGTCTTCGGGTGGCGCCGAGGCGCACACGGCGGTGTAAGCCGACATCGAGCTGCCCCTGCAATGAGCAGGAGCACGGCAGCATCACCCATCCCGTCCTTGCTCGTGCTTGTAGGTTGCGCCGAGGCGAATAGAGCCGCGAAAGCCGCCACCGACTTGCCCCTGCCATGAGCAGGTAAGCGGCAACACCTCCCGAGACGCCCTGTCCTTTTCTCACCCCTTCTAGATTGCGCCGAGACGCGCACGGTTGCGTCTGCCGCCGTCGAGCAGTCCTTGCCCCGAGCGGGATCGCGGCAACGCCCCCGTCCATCCTTTCTACCGTTTTGTAGATTGCGCCGAAACGCGCATGGCAGCGTAAGTTTCCAACGAGCTACCCCTGTTTTGAGCAGAAACACAGCGGCATCTCCCTCCCGTCCGTTCTCGCGAGTTCTAAGCTTTGCTGAAGCGCACACGGCGGCGTAAGCCGCCACCGAACTGCCCCGGCCATAAACAAGAACACGGCAGGCGCCGACGACAGCGGGTCATGGACCTCAGGGCCGGGCATATGTCACCCAATTTGTGCGCCGCACCTTCTCCATGACATAAGAAGTAGAGCCCCCGCGGGTGCATCGCGCCCAAAGCAGGAGCGCCCTGACGTTCGCTGCGGGCCGTTTGGCCCTCAGAGGCGAATGCCCAGCCAAGGCCATCCACCAGGGAACCCTCAACCCCTTAAGGAAGCACATCGTCTCAGAATCCTCCTCCTCCGCCTCCTCCTCCTCCTCTTCCTCCTCCTGGTGTTCGCCATTGCCCTTGTGATTCTTCATGGTGCGTGTGCCTACAACTTGTGCGCCGCTTCGCCACAGGCACAGCCATGCTGCCTTGCCGAGCTGGAGCGAGCTAATTCCCCGCTCCTCTCCTCTCCTCTCCTCTCCTCTCCTCTCCTCTCCTCTCCTCTCCTCTCCTCTCCTCTCCTCTCCTCTCCTTCTTGCTCTTCCGCCTCCTGCCCTGAACACATTGGCGTCCATCCAGCCTCCGTGATGTTGCAGTAGGACTTGACCATTGGGGGCCGCACCATTTCGCACGTGGTGCGGTTGACGGCGGCATCGTGCCAGATGTCCTCGGCAACATCTACCATGAAACGGAGGAGGAGGAGGAGCAGGAATATGTATATGGCGACAGCGGCACTCATTGCAGACACTTCTCGACGTGTGCGCAACTTCTTTGCAAAGGAACCAAATCAACCTGCTCTTGGACTGATCTCAAGGTGGTTGTGAGGGTGACGGTCAAGACGAGAAGGAGTAACAGGACGACGATGAGGGCCAGGACCACCAGGAGAGCGAGAACACGCAGGGGTACACATGAGGTGGAGGACGAACACACGTTGGGGTGTGAAGGTTCACGCCGCGCGCGGGCGCGAGGGCCAACGACGATAGCCGAAGGAGAAGAACACTGCATAAAGCAGGCGGTCGGGAATGTGTGGATAGCGTTTCGCGGCGGTGGCCCTGGCGACGCGCTGTACCCTGCAGGCGGATAGCGTGTCGCTCCCCTTCCTGGGGCGGAAGGCTGGGATCAGCCCGGGACGCTGACGCTCGGGGTCTCGGGCGTGGATGGCGTGCCGCGCCGACGCGCGGTCGGCCAGAACCCGGCGGAGAACGACGCGCCAGGACAGAGTTCCTGACCGCAGCCCCGCGCCCCGCAGGCCAAGGGGAGTGTGCTGGACTGTCGGGGGCGGGTGGGGGTGGGCACGGCCTCTCCCGTCCTCCTCCTCCGCGGATTCGTTGCGAGGTGGCGAAACTTCATGGCTGCGTGGCGAGCCCCTGGTCGCTGTAACCCCCAGAGGAGGAGGAGGAGGAGGAGGAGGAGGAGGAGGAGGAGGAGGAGGAGGAGGAGGAGGAGGAGGAGGAGGAGGAGAAGAAAGAGGAGGAGGAGGAGGAGAAGGAGGAGGAGGAGGAGGAGGTCGGCACGGAGGTGCCGGCTCCCCAGGCCTCCCCCATTGGCCGCGTGCTGACCAGGGCTCCGAGGAGGCCCCCGCCGTGGCGGCGGCAGCCCGCCCCCCGCTGCCCCGGACCCACGCACTCATACTCTCACATACACACACGCATAATACACATAAACACAGACACACTTATATATATATATATATATACACACACACAAGACTGCACTGGCGCTTCGCGCCGTGCATCTTGTGTCGCAGCTTCTCTTCTAAAGCAATTACCCCAGTGCGACCCTACCTAGGAGTTGGACCCCCTAGGAAAGCAGCATTAGTAGTAACAGTAACGCTAAGCTAAAGCTAAGCTAAAGCTAAGCTAAAGCGAAGCTAAAGCTAAGCCACAGCTAAGCTAAAGCTAAGCTAAACGCTGAGCTAAAGCTAAGCTAAAGCTAAGCTAAACGCTGAGCTAAAGCTAAGCTAAAGCTAAGCTAAAACTGAGCAGCAGCTAAGCTAAAGCTAAGCTACAGCTAAGCTAAAACTAAGCTAAAGCTAAGCTAAAGCTAAGCTAAAGCTAAGCTGAAGCTAAGGTACAGCTAAGCTGAAGCTAAGCTAAAGCTAAGCTGCAGCTAAGCTACAGCTAAGCTCAAGCTAAGCAAAAGCTAAGCTAAAGCTAAGCTAAAGCTAAGCGAAACGCTAAGCGAAAAGCTAAGCGAAACGCTAAGCTAAAGCTAAGCTACAGCTAAAGCTAAAGCTAAAGCTAAAGCTAAAGCTAAAGCTAAAGCTAAAGCTAAAGCTAAAGCTCCCAGGGGACTGGGGGGAACCGCTCGCAGGGGGCCGGGGGAACCGCGCGGGGCGATTTCCATTGCCCGGCCCCTTTAAGCTGAGAGAGTAAGAACCCTTCTAGGCAGAGCCTAGGCAGGGGAAAAAACATTCCACTCCACATCCTTCCTCTGACTTCTGCTCCGCCCACCCCCTGTTTCACGCGCGCGCGTCGCAGACGGGGGAGGGCGAGCAAGCGAGTCAGCAGTCAGCAGTGGGAGAGCGGCGAGAGGATGGTTTTTTGAAGTCCGCCCCAGAGAGCGCACGGCGTGAATTCAGGCCCCTCCCGCCTCAGCGGCGGCGTCGACCTCGTGCTCGTCGTGGCCCGCGGCCACGTTTTCGCCGCCCCTTCCCCCCTCTCCGTCCTCCTCCGGCGCGGCGCCTCCTAGCCGCGATAGCAACTGCGACTTTTCGCAGAAGACGAACTGTGTAGCGTAGTCCGTCAGGGTGGCTTTCTCGCAGTAGGAGTCCGCCGCCGCGCCGCGCGGCGCGGCGTGACGCGGTGAGGAATGCAATTATGTAATGGGCCACTCAGAGACCCCTTTGAGCTGACGTCCTGTTCCCTGGTTGGCTACCCAGCGGGTCGCGGTTAGCTTCGGCGTTGGCTGCTCGGTTGGCTGTTTCGTTTGATGGCTGGTCGGCTGTCGGGTCGGCTGTCCGAACATCCTGTGTTCACACGCGGGGGCGGCGGCAGGCGGGGCAGAAGGCCAATAGATACACGCGCCGTACCATCTCAGGGCCCAACTGTGCAATAGTCGCAGCTCTGTGGTCCACGAAAGCCTTCTTGCGCGCAGCCCCAGCCTGGCGAAGGAGGACGGTCCAGAGCTGCAGGGCGGCAGCGCTCTGGGAGTGCAGCGCGGCAACCTTGCGGACCGGCTTGCCCCGCTTTCCGGTGGCCCACGCCGCGGTCCCCAGACGCTGGGACACCGCGCGGCGGGGCCCGCTCCCTGCGAGCACCACTGCGGGTGTTTTCCAATGCCGCCCGTGGTCTGGGCAGCGCGAGGAGGGCTGCCGAATGCGCATTCTTTGCTCCGAAGCTCCCCCAGCCCCGAGAAGCCGCGAGCACGCCCTCCAGGTCCTCGGCGGAGGCTGCAAGCAGCTCGGACACCGTGCCGCCACCGTTCCCCAACTCCGACAACGCATTCAAGAAACACCTGCTGTTGGCGGTAATCTTTCGCAACTCCCGGGCCGCCTTGGGAGCGCTAAGCTTGGCAAGCCTGGCCTTCTCTAGCGTCCGCGGATTAAAACTATCGCCAACCAGCTCGGAAGGGGTGACCGGTGTGTTCGTGGAGAACCACATTGAATTTTGCCACCACTCCTTTGCTCGCAGAAACGGCATCAACGTTGTCGTAGATTATGCGCAAGGCGACCGGGGAGTGCAAGAACTCAAGCAGCAGCGCCGTGCTGTCTCGTGCGTGAGGTGGGCAGAGGTTCGGTATATGTGTCTGTGCCCGCCACGTTTTGTCTGCGCACTCCAAGCACACCTTCTCGCCTTCGACGTTTTTCATGTGCACTAGGATTTTGCTGTTTGACTTGCTGTGGTTGGAGGTGGCCCATTCGCTGGTAGGCTCGTGCGCGTCGCGCCACGTCGCCAACGCTGGAAGAGAGGCCTGGTCCAAACGTGAGGGCATGCGATTGTGAACGACCCGCGGCGGGCTGTCTCCAGCGCGTCTATCCGGGGCCGCCGTAAGTGGCGAGGTGACCCTTGCACAGTGGACGGCCGGTAATGCTTCGGCGCCGCCGCGGTTCCTGTGCCCGGGGAGGGGGCGGCGTTGGCCAGCATCTCGCAAAGCTGGGAACGTTTGGCCAGGGATGTACGCTGCAATGCCTTAACGTGGTGCAAACGTTCGTCCTCCATCCTGCAGAACATGTTGATGACCCACTCGTTGAAGAGTCTGCCAGACAGGTGCATGTGTGGAAGCCGGAGTGTTTGCTGGCGATACCACCAAATTTGCTTGATCTTGTTATGTTCTGGCGTGTTCAAATCCGGAGCCCAGCCTCTGCCCCCGCGAGGGTACCACAAAGGGTAAGACAGCGGCTCGTACAGCCCGCTAAGTGGAGGGATGTAGTCGCACTGGTCCGATTTGTGGAGGCGGAAGCACACAGAGCGAGGGCACGTACGAGCCCCTCCTGCGGAGTGCTAGATTGCGGCAACTTCCTGAATGCCTTCATCCCAGTCCAAGCGCAACACCGCTTCGGGGCAGCGAAGAGGGGGTAGGGATCAGCTTCTGGATAGCCGTCATGTACGGGTTCCCGTGGAGCACGTGGCGCTCGATGGCACGGACAATTTGTGAGTCGAGTTGCAAGCGATCCGCAGTCTGCGGCCGGAATTGCGGGTCGACGAAAATGTATTGCATGGCGTTGGCTCCTTCTGGCGTCCATGCTTTCCGGTACATCGCAACGTGAATTCGCATGAACGAAGGCTTGTTGGGCGTACAGGTGGTCTACCGCTCTGTTTTGCTGGACTGAATGTCGTGCGCGGCCAGCCCGAAGAGGTTGTTGTATGCCTGGGAGTGGGCGCTGAATCCGTCACAGCCGATGTTTGCAAAAGTGCTGGCCCAGGCGCAGCGGAGTATCTGGTGAAATCGATTGCGTGCTTTCCAAACTGACAGCAGAAGCCCGCATATTCGTCGGAACACCGGGCTACGCCACGGTGGGCGCAAATGGAATCCCGAAGCCCTAACGAGATGGATTGGGGGCCTGCAAGCGTGGGACACACCCTGGTGGGTGCGACGCAGGAGGAACACACCCGCGTACGGCTGGGCTTTTTGCGCTGGCTGGCGGTGTAGAGAGTCTTGTCCTGGAGTTCCCCGCAGCGCGAACAGGAGAGGAACTCTTGCTGCGGACGACCGCCGCGACCCGTCGCTGATGGGGCACAGGTAGAGCAGACACGGGCGTAAGCGGGCGCATCCAGCATGCTCTCGCTGAAGTGAGTACGCTCTCGAAGCCCCCCGCAGCGAGCGCAATGCAAGGTCTGTTTGGGCGTTGCTCTGGAGTTCGCTTCCCGGAAACAGGCACAGGATATGCAGGTCCTGTTGGATTGGGACAGTTGTGTTTATGAAAACGCGCTTGAAGGAAGACAACTGCCACAAGCAAAGCAGGTGAATACCGACATGGCGGAAGTGTTGTGCGAGTGTCGGTACGGGGACACTTTGGAGCCACAGGCTACGGAGGGAAGTCAACAGACGAACGCAAGCAAAGAACATTGGGGGCGTCACGGTGAGAAATACGCATGTGGGACGCCGAAATCGACGTAATGCAGGTTTGGCGGCCCACGTGCCTAGAGGGAACGTCGCGAAACTGGGATTCGGACGCATTTGGTGGAAATGCTGGACGGAAGCGGGAATGCGGGGTCGTACGTCAAAGGGGCTCCTAGAAGCCAGCAGGGTGCTCATCGGAAGCAATTTTGAAGCCTCTTGGGGGCTGTTTTGGTGTCTTTGGGGGCCTTTTTTGCGCCTCTTGGGGGGCTGGGGCCTGTGGGGGGCCTCTGTGGGGGTCCTTGGGGCTTCTCGGGAGCAGTTTTGGAGCTACCTTTGGCCGTCTTGGGCGCCTCTTGGGTACCTCTTGGGTCGTCCTGGGGCCCTCTTGGGCGGTCGTCGAAGCCTCTTGGGCCTTCTTGGGCCGTTTTGGAGCGCCGGAAAGCGCAAAACTCCTCTCTCTCTCTCTCTATATATATATATATATTAAAAATGTACGTTTCCCCATCGGAATTCGACAATTTTGGCATCTTGGGGCTCCCTTTTGAAGCTTCTGGGGACTCTCTTAGGCCATCAGGAGGCCATGTTGGACCCTCTTGGGTCTACCGCTGGCTCGTTTGCACGAATTGGCAAGGAATTTCAGAAGCCCGGAGGTCTCATGGGACTCTCGGCAGGGGCGTCCAGAAGCCCCCGAAGCCGGGGATTCCGGAAGGTCCGGCCTCCCGGGGGGGAGGGGGTCCCACCCCCCGGGAGTGGAAAAATAAAAAAAAGGGACTCTCTCTCTCTCTCTGTCTCTCTCTCTCTCTCTCTCTCTCTCTCTATATATATATATACATACATACACAGAGATGTATTAGAACACGACGCACGAACACAAACACAAGCACGGACAACCACACAGCACACAAGAACAGAAGCGAGCACACAAACACACTGAGAGAGAGAGAGAGAGAGAGATGGAGACCAAAAAACAGCAAGAACAACTCAGAAACCGAAAACGATGGCAGGGCACTCCGAACTCCATGCGGGGCGCCAGGTGGGGAGGCGCCACCCCCGCCGCGGGCCCCAGGTCGACCGCCGCCCTGGGAAAGAACCACCGCGGGCCGCACACGGCGCGGTGCGCGGACGAGGCGAGGTGGAGCCCCGCTGGGAGCCAGGGGGCCCCCCTGCCACGCTCTGGGAGCCTGGCGCGGATGGGGACCTCACACCCTGCGCACCCCCCTCTGGTGTCATGCTGCTCCCATCGTGCTTGAGGACCACATCCCAGGGTCCCAGAAAAAAATTCGGGCACCCGGGCAAGAGTTGAAAGAGCATCGAAAGAGGGTCGAAACAGTGTCGGACGAGTGTCTCCCAGGGCCCGACACGTGAAAACCCGCAAATTTCGCTCCTTTTTGGGTGTTCGAAATTCTTCCTGGTGGTCAAGGCTAAAGTAGGTTGGAACATCATGACTCTAGTGGCGAGGCAGCGCCGCCCCTGCCGCACTCTGGGGGCGATGGGCCGGGGCACGGACAGACGCCACACCCCCTGGCGCACACCCTCTGGTGGCAATGATCGAAGAGAAGAAGTCGGCATGCGCAGAACCTTCCGGAGTTTCCGCGCGGATCTCCTGGATCGGCATTGGTACCCCATCCATGGCGCGCGGAGCGCGCCAAGTGCGGTGCCGGAGGCGCCAGCAAGGGGGCCCAGCGCCGATCCAAGAAATCCGCGCGGACATCCGACAGTTTCTGTCTATGTCGTTGTCTGTCACTCGAGCCCTCGGAGCGTGGCACGGACAGAGATCGCTCCCCGTGCAAGTGCCCTTTTGTGGCGATATAACACCACTAGACGTGTGTGTGTGTATGTGTGTTTGTGCATCTTTGTATGTGTATGTGTATGGTGTATGTGTGTATGTGAATGGGTATGCGCATGTGTATAGTGTATGTGTATCGTGTATGTGTCTGTGTATGCATGTGCATGTGCATGGGTACGCGTATGTGTATGTGTATGCAGGCGTGCGCACGTGGGGAGAAGAAACAAACTGAGTCGTGGACGGAAGGTTTTCCGGGTACGGCGCGGGTGAGGAAGAATACCATAAGCCACTCAGGATATGGGGAACAACGGAGTGCCTCCAGGCCGGAGAAAATTCGGGACATGGAGAGGGGGGGAAACCGGCATGCCGGCGGGGGGGGAGGTGAATGTCATTGCGTTGCCAACACCCCTGACCTCAAGCGTATCCAATTTGTCATCCAGACTTTTGAAGGTAACGGAGGGCTTCACGAGGCGACGCCCAACACTTGTCGCCCGCGCTGTCCTTGTACCACGGGCTGGTGGCCATCTCGGGGTGCCTGGGGCATCCGCGCGGCATGTACACGTAGCACCCCGGCGTGCTCGGAGCCTCTCGCGTTCGGGTGGCATGTAAGAGAGAGCGCCACGGCGCCGTTGGCCAGGCGACAAGGCAGGGGTCCTGCCTGCTCAGGGCCTCAGACTCTCCAAGAGCTTCCTCTTCGCGATCGCTCGGGCTCGAGCAGCTCTGTGCCTTTCTGCCCTCTGCCACCTGTTGTCGTTCAACCCCCCTGCCTCCTACTCCTCCTCCTTTTCCGTTGCCTCTCCTCCTTTCCTTCCTCGTCCGACCCTCCCTCCCGCTCCCACAATCCCCGCCCTCTGTCTTCCATGTGCCCACTTCCTCCTCTTCCTCCCAGCGTCCTCATTCGGTGCCTTCGATGCCACATGGGTCAGGGAGAGCGTTGGCCAACCCTGCCCAGAAAACGAAACGTTCCGAAGCCGATGAAGTGGCACAAGCCGCAACATTCTTGACGGAGCTGGAAAGGAACATCCTCCCAGTGCGACCGACGGATCTTGCTGCAACAACTGGTGCCAGGAAGCCACATAAATGAAGCATGAGGCCCACCAGCATCATCCCATCACACGCTACTCCTTCTCCTCTTCCTTTTCCTCCTCGAAGTGCTCCTCCACCACCTCCTCATCCCACCATCCTGCTCCTCATTCCCCCGTCGTTGCACTCTCTCCACCTTCCCATCAGTGAAAGTGCTGCTTATCGGATTTGCCAAGGCGCTGTGTGTGGTCGACGCCTAGATGCAGGGAGTTCTACCAATCACGCTGTCAATATCTGGGCGGAACATAGCATCCACATGTGCCAACACCACTCTCCATCATTTTCACACAACTCCCTCTCCTTATCTTCTTCCCACATCTAATTTACTACTCCTCCGACTCGTCTTCGCTACTCTCCCCTGGCCTATCCCAACCTGCCTCCAGGTTCCTCCAGATTCCTCCTTCATCCCTTGCACGCATCTTCTCCTACAAAGACCACCTTCTCCAGATGCCACTACTGTCCTCCACATGCAACATTCCATTCTCCTCCTCTTCCTCATCACCACAACCATCATTACCATCATCACCATCCCCATCCCCATCACCATCACCCTCACCATCACCATCATAATCATCATCACCAGCTGCTTCTACTCCGAGACTCTTTCTGAACAGCATGAGATGAACCGCAACACTCTTGTGAGAAAAAAAAACCTTTGAACCGAAGGCTCGGGGAAGTCGCACGACGCGCACGAGCATCAAACAAACTACCACGACGGCCAGTGCACAGATACGCTGTACCCGCAGAAAGGAGGAGGAGGGGAGGCGGAGGACCCAGAGAGACTATGAAAAATGTGATGCCGCAGGGCTGTCTGAAACCTGCGTCCAACATTCCTGAGACTCTCTCAGCCCCAGCTGCAAACCGAGCCCGCTATATTAGCTGCTTCTACTCCGAGACTCTTTCTGAACAACATGAGATGAGCCGCAACACTCTTGTGAGAAAAAAAAGACCTCTGAACCGAAGGCTCGGGGCAGTCGCACGACGCGCACGAGCATCAAACAAACTACCAATGTTGGGGGACCTGTCCAACAGCAACATTCCTTTTGCCAAATTTAGCGGGCTCTTCTACGCATTGGAAGCATGCACGCTGACAGGAAACTGCATGGCAAAGCCGGCGTCTTGGAAAAGGCTAGCGAGCTGTCGAGCGAGCGCTGGCGGGTAGGGATTAGCGCGCCAAGTCTAGTGAACACCACTGTCGTCTCGGCCGTGCAGCACATGGTGAGCCTCGCCAGTGAAAGAGCAAAATCCGCAGCCCGTGCACCTCTTGCGCAGCCGTTCGGCATCGGGCAGCAGAAAAGTTCGAAATCGAGTTGGCTTCTTCCATGCAGTGCCCCGGCCGCAGTAGTGGGTAATGGTATCTAGCACGTGTGGGAAAGCTGAGATGCGGAGCGCGTCAGGCATGTGCCACATGTAGCTGCTCTGCGGGTTTTCCCAGAGAAAGGGGATTCGGTACATAATGCACTGGTCGAATATCCTCACAGCGTTGCGAAACAGCTTGTTGCCCTCATTTACTTGAGACTGCAGGGGGGGCGGAAGCCCCGGAAGGCCTGCTGGATACTGCTTTGAACGGATAGCGTTGTGCCCCCCACGGGCGATCGAGAAGGTTGTACATGGGGCGCCCGCCAGTGCGCCGAGGCAGTGACCTGATCTGACGAGCTTCAGGACGCGTCGCACCACGCCAGGGCGGAGGAGGTCACATTCGGGTCCCTGCAGGATGTCGAAGGAGTAGACCTTGCATCGGCGTCGCCGCATGCCGTTGCTCCAGGCCTCGGACCCCGCGAACAGCGCTATGTAGACTGGCTGGTAGTCCCAGAAGGGGGTCCGCTGTCTTGCGACGCCGCTGCCGCAGAAGTAAGCCTCGAACTTGTCGGCTAATGCGGCCGCGGCTGTCTCGCAATACTGGCGCTGGCGCTCGCTGAGGTTGTTCCAGACCTCCTGCAGCAGGCTGCGCTTCTCGTAGCGCCGCACGCTGCTCAGCGTGCGCCAGCGTCCCCTCTTGGCAACCTCGTCGGGGTTCAGCCGGCCCTCCTGGCGGTTGATGCTCGCTCCTGAGTGGCGGGCCGCGTAGAGTACTGGCGAGAGCGGTGCGAGCCTTGCTCGCGCGACAGCGCGGCCGAACAGGTCCTTCAGCTTCGACAGCACGAGCGGCCACAGCGGCTGCCCGCGGCGGCTCGAAGCAAGGGCGACAAGACACGCCCCGACCCAGCGTCGCAAGATCGTGACGGTCTCGTCCTTCTCGCCTGTCTTGGAGGCTCTCAGCATGTAGTCGGGGTTGATGTGACTCACCACGTCCGTGACGGTCCCGCAGGGCCCTGAGACCGCCCCCTCCAGGCACAGGTGATCGAAGAACTGCACGACCCGTGCGTCGAGCGAGTGGGTTGGCATGATGAGACTGGTAAGGCCACGGAAGATCATGAAGGCAGAGAGCAACCGGTTGTAGCTGGTGAAGGTCCGCTGCTGGACGGCTGTCTGCTGGGTGATCCCCAGCTGGTGCATGGTGTCGCGGGCGGGTCCGTGGGCGGACTGCCGCGCGTGGGGCCGTCGCCTCTCGTTCACGTTGAGCGACCCCGCCCCTGGCTCCCCTGCGGCGTGCGCGCCGAACGCGGCCGTCTCGAGCTGCGTCGTCCGCTCGGCCGCGGTCAGCAGCGGAGCCGTTGGCGTGCCCGAGCTGCGCGCGGGCTGCAGGCCAAGCAGGCGCGGGCCGCGGGGCGGCCGCGGGGCCCGCGATGCCGCCTTGGCGGCAGGTGGCGCCCGACAGCGACCCGTCCTCGTCGGGCGCGGGGCCTCCCCTCGCCTCGGGGTCGACGGCGCGCCCAGCGCCGGCGCCGCGGCCCTCGCAAGCGCCAGGCGCTGGCCTGGGCGCGGGGGATGCGAGCCCAGGCGGGGCGAGCGCGACCGGCAGCGGTTTGCCAGACTTGCGGGCCTAGTGGCTGAGCTCATCCGCTGGGTTCAGCTCAGAAGGCAGCCATCTGTGACGCACGACTGTGCCCGTCAGAAGCAGCAGGGCGGACCAGCGGCGCATGATATTGAGAGGCCGCGCGCCCCGAGCCCGACCCTTCGACGAAGCGAGAGAGAGGCCCAGGTTGTCGCCCAAGAGAAGCACCCGTTTACCCCATCGTAGTGGGTCAAGCAGATGTACACGAATTGCCTCGGCTACTCCTCGGGCTTCCTTACGGTGCGTGGCCTCGGGGTCCCTCATGAGCCTGTGATGCTGGAAGACCCACTTGGCAGCCCTAACATACTGGGGAGAGATCTCGGGGAAGCTCGGATCCACCTCGCCGACCTCTCGCATGTCGTCGATCGATCGAACGTCCCCGTCCTCGCCCTCCAGCTCCTCCACGCCTCTCGCTCGGTCACGTGGTCGGTAGGTACCATCATCAGATCGAGTACGTCGGTATCGGCACCTCTCCTGCCACCCCCCCGCTCGCTTGACGAAGTCGATCGGCATACCGGCGATGACGGACGCGTGACCCGTCTCGCACGCGTCGGTGGCTATAACTGTTTGGGGCCACTCGGCATCCAGACGACGAGAGAGCAGGTTGAGGATGCCTTGGAAGATTCCCAGCTCGCGGCCCACAGAGTCCCACTGAGGCCCCCACTCGACAAATCCTGCGCGAATGAAAGCGTACACTGCGCAGAAGCTGGCAAGGGCCTCGCGCCGAACCAGCGCGCAGAAGGTGTAATGGCCTATGAGATGCTCGAGCTCGCTGCTGGTGGCCCGACGCCTCACCTCGACCAGGTACTGGATTCCGAAGCACAGCTTCCAGAAACGCTTCTCTGAGAGCTGAACGGTGGGGGGCGAGCCTGTCAGCCTGGCGCCCAGCATATCCATATCCTGCGCGGCGCCCTCCTCACAGTGCACTGCGAGGTCCTGCGAGGCGAAGGCGTCAGAGGCCTGGCGTCTCCTCGAGGTGACTTCCGCCTCATCGGTGCCCACCAGCAGCACGTTGTCGACGTGCAACGAGTGGGCTGGTCCGTCCTGCACCGAGGGAGGCGGTCGGAAATCGACAGCCCTCGGGCAGGTCGCGAAGAGGGGGTGGTCGTCCAGAGAGTACTCGTGGGCTCTCTGCACCATGTAAAGCCCCCCAGGACCAGCCCATTGGCACCACGGACATCTGCGGGCACACAACGTCCCGCGGCTCGACAGGTCGGCCCAGCACGTGTGTCACTCCCACAGCACCAGCGCGCACCCGCGGCAGGCAGAAGTAGTCGCACAGGTAGGACGGCAGGCGGTGCTGGTAGAAGGCACTCTTGACGTCCAGCCCCCCGCGCCAGGCTGTCTGGCCAGCCTCCGCCTCGAAGTCACCGAAAGCGGCCCCGCTGAAGAGCGCCGCTGGGTCGGGCTTGGTGAACCTCTGATTAGATCGGCGACAGTCCAGCACCAGCCTCAGGCCGCCGTCCTTCTTTGCGACGAAGAAGACAGTCACATCCTCCCGTCGATGACGGCCGACA